AAAACATGGGGGGCCAAGCCAATTTTTTTGGGGGCCCAACTCATCATTGGGGGGACAGGAGTGTGCGTGCGTGCGTGCGTGCGTGCGTGCGTGCGTGCGTGCGTGCGTGCGTGCGTGCGTGCGTGCGTGCGTGCGTGCGTGCGTGCGTGCGTGCGTGCGTGCGTGCGTGCGTGCGTGCGTGCGTGCGTGCGTGCGTGCGTGTGTGTGTGTGTGTGTGTGTGTGTGTGTGTGTGTGTGTGTGTGTGTGTGTGTGTGTGTGTGTGTGTGTGTGTGTGTGTGTGTGTGTGTGTGTGTGTGTGTGTGTGCGCGCGCTTATGCGCCATGAGCATCAGCAGGACGACTTAAGCTTTGTATCGCACTTATCAGCTGGAGCATTGTGGCATTGTCGAGGGCAGGTTTAAGGCAATGATCTCAGCATATTGGTTTATTCATCCATTTCGTACTGCACATACCACACATCTGCACTGTTAAGATATTGCAGCGCCTTTTTGGACCGTGTTCATAACTAAACGAATAAAAAGAGATGATAACAATAGCAGAGAACACGAACATCACACTCAGGTGGCCAGTCACATGCGGGAAACGCACAGCTAGCCAAAGCGTAGAGTGATTCAGGCAGGTCATCATTAAAGCTAATTTCCTTTCAATGCGCGCCGCTTGAGCGCTGTGTGCACCGACTCACGGGTGGCGGCCGCACGTATTTCAGTTGGCAGCACTTTATGCAACACCGCGGTTCCACACGCAAGGCGTCACCTACCGTATTCCGACTTAATTCGCGGTAGGTGGAATACTTTTCCACCACTGCTGTATTGGACGTGGGCGTCACGAATCCGCAAGAATTCGACTGGTGGAGTACATTTACGCCACTGCTGTGTTGGGCGTGGGCATCCCGATTCCGTGAGGATGTGATTGCTGTTGTCTCAAGCACCGACGTGGTAACCATCCAACGTAAGGTGGTCACAGTTTATCAGTCCGCAGCTCCCCAGCGCACAGCCCGCCCAGAAACTACAGAGAGGAGTACGTGTTGCATATGCTCGCCTAATAAGATTCAGACGCAGAAGTGCTGGGTTAGTTAGTTAATACAATGCATAATCAACTAATAGTTGTAGGTGATTTAATCTAATTTAAATAATATATTAATTATTCTTGGGTTATCGTGGTGCGCAATCCATACGTCGCCGCATGCATAGCGAGCATCATTGGACTGACATCATATCACTCTCAGATCGTTATGATGTTTTATATATCCTTATCATCGTTACAGTTAAGTTCGATTCATCATTATCATAGTCACCAGCGTGGCAAAAAACGAAAACAAACTCAGCAATGACGCATTTCGCGAAGGTCATGAAGACAGCTTGTCCGCACCAACTTCGACATTTAGAGTTGCATACTAAGTTCAACGTAGAAGCTGCTGGTTTGCTATCACAAGCAATTTTCTAACAGCGGTTGCACCTATAGAAGTTCCAAAAGGAAAACTGCATCGATTCAGCCTGACGCAGGTCAGCAAGCTGAAAACGGCGCAACCATTTTACACTCAAAGCGAACACACGGCACGCGTTGCAAGCACCAGATGCCAAGAACCGACACGCGGCCGAAGAAAACAGGATGAGGGCGCGAAAATTACACCCGCGCCGAGTGAGCGATGCAACATTTCTGACGGCCGAGGACGAGAGCGGCAATCGAACAATTCCCATACGAAGCAAAGATTGAGAGCCGTACCCATTGGTCAGTTCATCGAGGAACTTGCCATTGAGAGAATCACGCTCTGCTCCGTCTGATGAACATAACGTGAACTTGGAACCAGCGTGCAGCTCACCGTGCCGCCTCGTGCAGACCTGCCCCTTCGCTTGTAAAAGATCTCACACCAGACGAGCGCCAAAGCTTATATAATGCTTACTTAACTGATGAAACTGACTCATTACGTACATACATGCTCATTGTTAAGGGAGCACAAAGGGGAAGCCAACAGGCATTAGTCTCTTGAGTACGCTGTTGCTTATCGGAAAACCAACGATTTGGAGCTTCAATGATTGTGGGGAAACCCTATCATATTTACTTTCTATGGCACCATGACGACATCTGATACCAGGTCCATACGCCAAAATGCTGAACAGCACCTTGGTACAATGATGGTCCAGGTAGATATTTACCCGCGTTTTGACGACACAATGCTCTGATGCGGTAACGACAATTATGCCGACAAACTCCGGAGTCAGAGCTGCAACTCACGAAGAGTGCTTGGCATGCACCCTTCCTCAAGGACGTAGGGTGCTGCGTAAAGTCGGGTCCATTAATTCTTCTTTCATTTCATTAATCCGTCTTTCACCAACTGCGTGGATTTCAACGCCCCAAATGCCAAGTCGTTTGGGGGCACCCCCGTAAGGAAGGTCCATGCCTCCAATTACACGTTCAACGAATTACAAGTCGACCACTGAAGCTGAAGAGCACCTGACAGACCCATTCATCATAATTTCAGGCAACAATGATGTTGCTAGATGCTTTTTTGGAACAGCCCCATGCCCCTATCATTGAAACTTTGCTGTTCAGAATCTCGCGACACGAGGTCGAGAAATCACGAGGTCAAAACGGAAAACAAGGGACAATATGAACTTCGCAAAACTTTTATGGTTCGACGCGGTTCGGACGATTGGAGATCAGATAAAACCGATTGTAGAAGCAGTTTTCATCAGCGCGGTACTCGAAACCAACAAAAAATTGCCACGCAAACGCAGCCCGCTAAAAATGTGCCCGGTTAAAGACCGGTTACCTCAGTCTGACAATGGAGTTGGAGCTGCGCGATAGATCGAGCTCAAAATTCCACGGCTAGATTCCGCAGATCAGTTAGCCACGGCGACAAAACTCATGATCTGGGGGATGAAGGAGGGAGAAACCGGTCGATATACCGTGCAACTCGCTTGTCATCACCATGACACGTGACCTGTTCGTAGATCTGCTTCGTCATAACGGTCAACATGCCTGTTTTATTCGCAGACATAAAACCACAAAACACACACATATACACCGACGCCGATACCCACCCACCCACCCACCCACACCCCCGCCCTAATACCTCCACCCCCCCCCCCCCCCCCACCCACACACACTCACCCACCCGCCCACACCCACCCACACACCCACACATATCTATCTATCTATCTATCTATTTAAACATATATATATATATATATACACATATATATATATACATATATACACACACACATATATATATATATATATATATATATATATATATATACATATATGTGCATACCTACACAAGGGTGGCTGTATGCAATAGTTTGTCCCTTCCATTAGGGAGCGGCAGCTGACGACCGTTGGCGGGGGCGGGCTCGGGACACGGCCGTGTCTAGACAGCCAGCCAGCGGGCGCCCAGCCGGGCCGCCGTGTTTAGGACCAGACCCATATTTACGGGCTGTATCCACCTGCGCCCGCGCCTCCCATGAACCCGCCGCAGTATAAACAGTCTGCCGCGCGAGGCTTCGCGGCACGGTCGACCGGCGCCGAGGGGTGCGACCGGAACCGGGCACCTCCGGCGTCGGCCTATGTCGGCGCGTGGGCACCTTTGATAACTGATACGCAAAAGCATGCATCGCTGATACGAGGTGCGACAGAACACAGTAGGCTGACAGCAGACATCCAGCAATCCTTCGGACAGTTGGCGGGCGTCACATCACTGCCGCAGCCCAGACCGTCTACGTCAGATAATCAGCGCCACCGTCCAGAGGCCGGGGTGATGGGCAAGGTCACCCTGAGCACGGGCCACGAAGCTCTCTGGCGTAAAATCGCTCCGTGTGGGGAACGAGTACGCCGTAGAAAACAGCACGGCCTGTACAGAAGCTGAACGCTCTTTTTACAGGCACTCATCTCAACGGACATCAATCGATGTGTTGAGTATACACACGATTGTGGGTTTCCGCCCTGACCCCCACCAACCATCCCCGGGGCTGGTCGCTTGTGGGCTGGACCCTGGAGGTCGCCCTGGAAACCGTCAGGAGCGGACCCAAGAGCCCGCTCCTGGCAACCGTCGAGAGGACTGAACAAGGCTCGCGGCCGAAACATCTGCCATCGGCGCCCGGCTGTTGCCACCTCCACCGCACGGCACACCGGCCATCGGCCCAGCAGACGCTATTCGTCGCATTATCGACCATCCAGCGGGCTCTCGTATTTTCCACAACCCAAGGGCCAGCGTTCCATTGACAGGCCTCCTACACGTTCGAGACGAGCTTGTACTGACCGTCCCTGAGGCCATGCACGTTAGCAGTGACACTGTCTCAAATATTTGATCCGTGACTCCTTTATTATAATAGCTTTTGGCGAACGTCGTCGGCACGCGTCTTGACCGGAGACTGGAATGCAACGCAGCGGGCGGTATAAATACTGTCATGAAACGTGCGCTATGTTTTACACACCGCCCTTATATGTACAGGACACTCACAAGCATACTCAGACAAACGTAGCGCAACACAGTCATTCCAATACCTCTTAACAACGCCGGCGACACTGCCCTGCGCGGCGGGTGCCCCGGTTCGGTACAGACGACCACACTTCTCCACCCTGTCGCCGAGCCCCAACAGCCAGGGGTCACCGGGTGAGTCGCACGATAAGTGAGCTTAATGTGGCGCACATGGATGCCATAATACGACCCAACCGCCGGGCAGCACGTGATCCGCAGCACGAAAATGGAAAACAGACAGCCCAGCAAACGGGCACATTCGACCGATACACTTTATTTGCATACATTTGCATAGCATTTGCGCAACGGGTCGCCTCTGACGAACGGCGACACACTGCGGTCGCCGACACTACCGCAGCGCGGTCCGGGCGCTGCCACCGGCGCGGCTGACGCCAACGGCACCTGCACCGGCGCACGCACCGGCGACACACTGCAGTCGCTGACACTACCGCAGCGCGGTCCGGGTGCGACCACCGGCGCGGCTGACGTCAACGGCACCTGCACCGGCGCACGCGCCGTCTCTGGATCACCCGGTGATCCCAGCGTGATTCTGGCCCTCCGATGGCTCTGGGACTCTCTGGATGCGCCCCAGCCTCGCTTTCCCGGTCTTGGCTCACAACACGCAGCGTGGCCACCCCGCCTGTGCCACGCTCCGGCCAGCAGTCCTCACGCATGTCACGCTCTGGCCTGCAGTCCTCACGCCTGCCACGCTCCGGCCTGAAGTCCTCACGCCAGCCATGCTCCGGCTCGCAGTCCTAACGCCTGCCACGCTCCAGCCTGTAGTCCTCACGCCAGCCACGCTCCGACTCGCAGTCCTCACGCCAACCACACTCCGGCCTGCACTCCTTCCGCCTGCCACGCTCCGGCCTGCAGTCCTCACGCCAGCTACGCTCCAGCTCGCAGTCCTCACGCCAGCCACACTCCGGCCTGCACTCCTTCCGCCTGCCACGCTCCGGCCTGCAGTCCTCACGCCAGCTACGCTCCGGCTCGCAGTCTTCCCTCTTGCCACGCTCCGGCCTACAGTCCTCACGCCAGCTACGCTCCGGCTCGCAGTCCTCACGCCAGCTACGCTCCGGCTCACAGTCCTCACGCCAGCCACACTCCGGCCTGCACTCCTTCCGCCTGAAGCTGTGGCCGGCAGTCCATGGCCCGCCAGCTGGCTGGCTGGCTATTTCAACACTGTTACCTGGTCTGCGGTGGGCCACGTGAAAGCCCCATGACTCGGCGTCTATTCCGGGCCTCCGAGTCCGCTCCGAGACCCTGAGTCTGCCCGTGACTCGGAGTCCGCCGGCGCTGTCCTCCACCCGCCAGTACACTCCACTCAGAAGTCGTCCGGATCGTTATCCAGCTCCCACAGCTGCGGCAGACGGGGGTTGACGAGTTCAGCGACGTCACCCAGCCTGGAGAACGACCCGACGGCCGGCCGTGGGGCGGGACAGCACCGAGACGCGCCGACGGGCCAGAGACGAGGCCGGCCGCCCTCCGGCACAATGCCCGGGCAGGCGGCGCGCACACGTGGCCGCGGCCGAACATGTCAACACACGGGACCTGGCGGCCACTCGCGGGCGGTGAGCAATCTAACTCGAGGGAGGTAGCGCTTAGGAGAAGTGGGGGGAGGGAGAGAGACAGCGCCTCTCTGGACGCAAGCGGGACATATCGGGGCGTTTGCTTTATATGTGCGGTCTACCCTGACAATCATGCGGTGGAGGTCATAACGCTAGCGGTCCCGTGGAACAAGTTGACATGCTCTGGGAGTAAGGATACTCCAAGCCCATATTTTTTTCCGCACGGCATATATCTGCTATATAAAACAATCGATGTTCTGCAGCACCGAAGACAATATAGCACACACGAATGTTCTGTAGGGAATTCAGTTTTATCGAACGAACCAATGATCCTACAGAGCCGCAGAACGTCAAGGGGACGGCTGACGGGTACGCTTGAACAACTCCACCGCAGCCCGCAAATTCTAACGACCAAACGTAGGTCTAGAACAGGATTAAAACGCCTAAACAGCGATAGGTTTCTACCGATACTTAATCATCTTAACTGTAGCGTATGGTCGCGCAAAGCTTACACAACGTTTACCGCAAAACGTTTGGAAGCCTTTCGCTTACTCAGCAACTGCGTTACTTCCGCTTCAAACGTCAAAACCTCTCAACGTCAACCCGATGTGTGTGGTGTGTTCGCCACCTTCAAGTGCCTCAGCGGCCAAATCTTGATCACGGCACCGTGCCGGTGCCGTGATCAGCTGCGTGCGGTCATCGGCAGCGGCGAACCGGCGCGTCGCTGCTCCCCGGCACAGCGGGGGAGTGCGTGTCACCGTCAGCGCTGCTCTGCGGTGAGCCGGCGCGTCGCTGCTCCCAGGGGCGGCGGGGAGCGCGTGTCACCGTCAGCGCTGCTCGGTGGTGAACCGGCGCGTCGCTGCTCCCCGGCACGGCGGGGAGCGCGTGTCACCGTCAGCGCTGCTCGGTGGTGAACCGGCGCGTCGCTGCTCCCCGGCGCGGCGGGGGAGCGCGTGTCACCCTCAGCGCTGCTCGGCGGCGAGACAGCGCGTCGCTGCTCCCAGGGGCGGCGGGGGAGTTCGTGTCACCGCCAACGCTGCTCGGCGGCGAGCCGGCGCGTCGCTACCCCCCGGCACAGCGGGAGAGTACGTGTCACCCTCAGCGCTGCTCGGCGGCGAGACAGCGCGTCGCTGCTCCCAGGGGCGGCGGGGGAGTTCGTGTCACCGCCAACGCTGCTCGGCGGCGAGCCGGCGCGTCGCTACTCCCCGGCACAGCGGGGAAGTGCATGTCACCGTCAGCGCTGCTCGGCGGTGAGCCGGCGCGTCGCTGCTCCCCGGCACAGCGGGGGAGCGCGTGTCACCGTCAGCGCTGCTTGGCGGCGAGACAGCGCGTCGCTGCTCGGGAGAACGGCGGGGGAGTGCGTGTCACCGTCAGCGCTGCTCGGCGGCGGGCAGTGGACGTGACGCTAATTGTTCATTGGAATGGATGCAGTTCGTCATGCAGTCAGATGCATTCTTATACTTGCGTCTTTTTTCTCATTTTCCGTGTCTTGTATTGCTGTCTTCTGATGTCAGCGTCAAGACCTCCTCTGTTCCTTAGCACTGATTTGTTTATTAGCTCATGCAACGAAGATGTCATGCTCGCCCCACATTGTGCCAATCGACGAAGGCTAAGCCCGTTTTTCCCCTTAATACACCACCTACGGCGGAATCCGGTAATGCTAATCAGCTAATTGCAATCGTCGATATCGTCATTGGTTTGTGTTTCGTGTGACGATAACTCTGTTTTGGGAAGCCTATTGGTAACCGAGAAAGGTGACGCACAAGGCAATTTACGGGGCCAGTCGAACACAGCGGCACTATGGCCCACACCACACAGTTGGCCCAACTATGCAACTAGAACCAAGCGAGGCCAATTGCCTCAGCCGCCAATTTTGGCATTCCAGTTCTGTGACTATTACCAGTGCATGTCAAACAACACCGCATCAATTGTCAACAAAATGTTCTCAGCACGCTTTCGACGTACGCCAGATGTGCGGGCTTAACGCGTTACGACGCACGCCAGATGCACGGGCCTAACGCGTTTACGACGCACGCCAGATGCACGGGCCCTAACGGGTTACGACGCACGCCAGATGCACGGGCCTAACGCGTTACGCTGACGGTGAACCTTCTTCTTGTCGTTTCGTTGAGGATCTATCAGGCTTGGGCTTGATCGCGTGGTTGAAAAAGGTAACGAAAGCGAAGGCATTGGAATTTACGAACACACCCCGCTTAAAATGACATACAAATAATCATCTTCCCCCATATACCGACATAATGACCATCACCGCGTCCTGCACCAGTACCAACACCACCAACATTAGTGTTATAGGCATCCCCCCCCCCCTTAATGAGATCTGGAGTACGAGCTGTGCCAATGCACTTCGCGAAGGTATTGGGAAACCTCGGGTCAAAACACGTATTTACATGACCTGATAGCCCCACACTAAATCCGGCTCATACCCAATGACCGCTGCGAGTGAGACGGAGAAGGAGGGGCCCAGCAGAGGAGTGGTGTTAGTTCCCACCCATGCTAATCGGACCTAAACTGGTCCTAAGCCACACTCAGGAAATGCCGCCCGGCGCTGCACATCGCGGAGAGCGACCTCAGCCGGCGAACACCGACAGGCATGCGGCTCGCCACTGCCCAAATGAACTCGCATCTCGAGCATCAACACTGCGCCTGCACGATTTCCAGGACGGGACGTGTGGCTGAGCTAGTCTTTGCCAGGGAAATGACACAAGAAGACGACATGGACGCCCTAGAACAGCCATGGGCTGCCAAGAACCTCACGTTATTCCCGCGATGCTCTGAAAAGTGCTGGGAGGCGTCGTTGTTTTGCACGTGAATGACATTGGCAGTTAGCATTGTGACGACAATTGTTTGCTAGTCATGACTGTTCAGATATGATATAGCCGAGACCGACACCCAATGACTGAGCTCCGCGTCAGGCGCCGCGGGTTTTCACACTGCCGATGCCCGAGTGCATGGAGACTGCAGCGCCCGTCGGAAGGTGAATGCTCTCTAGAACCGCTCGTGCACCATACCCAGAAATCTAAAAGAATATCTTTTGAATTGCAAACCCCGCGCACATCCACGCGCACACGAAATGACCACTGTAAAGCCATCTTTGACAACAATTTCAACGACAATCCGTAATTGCCGTTCCGTCATAACTGATGCTGCCATGAACGAAGCAAGCTGCCGCCCCAGGGAATTGCGCTAATCGCGACCGATCACGAAACGGGAAAGGGGCGTGTGTGTGTGCACGTACCTCTGTGGCCTCAGTGAGCTGCTGCAGCTCCGTCAAGCCAGTCAGATCCTCCAGATAGCCCGACCGGTTGAAAACCTTCAGCAGAAACTCCTCACCCTCTTCTCGGTATTTTGCAAGCACCTGCAACCAGAACGGCGCTATCTGAGCTTTGCACGAATGCAAAAAGTGACCGAGAAGTATGTCCATAAGACCAGGGGTTCATGCGCGCATAGATTGGGTAGTGCGTTAGTGTGGGAGCAAGCTATGTGGGTCTTCAAACCACGCGTATGCATACATTTTCTAAAATTCATTTTGTGCCTGGCGTAAGTCGTGCGCTCATGCATATGCGCATCATTCGTAACTTGAGATACGCACGTGCAACCACGCGCGAGCACTCTCCGGCTCATGCGCCCTGCCATCACTCCGGTCTAGGTATTTGATGAAAAAAGTATGTGGACCTTTACAGTAAAAGGCGCATATAAAAATACCTGGCCTTGCATGCGAACAAAGATGTGCATACAAGAACTGGGTGAGCGGAAAAATAGCCAGCGCGATCCCGCGGTGATAGCGATGGCTCACTGATAAGCCACAAGTCACGACTCCAGACATTCCGAGCACGGCCTTTTCATCACCTCGCCATCGATGTATAACTGTACAACCATGGAAGCTCAAACGGAGCCGCGCCCTCGCCAGCAATGACAACTGCATGACGAGCAGAGAAAGATGGCCCGGGTCCCTTTCCACCAGTGCGAACAGGGCCCCTAGCGACACGAACTCATTCGGGCCATCTCGGTGGGGACCACTCATCTGGCCTTTCGATGACACACATTTCTCATTGATTGAATCGTTCCAAACTGGCTTATTGAAATAGCTTCACAGGACATTGACTCGTACAGGTGTCGATGGCCCGAAAACGTGGCTTTATAGCCCAGCACTGTCTATGATGTTCCACCACTCGCCACCGGCCGAGAGAATGAAATGCAACCTCTCCTAGTCACCTATAACCTCACCGTACAGTTGGGATAGTTAAAATGGAAAGCAAAGGTAACCAGTAGCCCAAGCTCGCCGGGGACCGATGAGTTGGCATCTGCCACCTAGCTGGTGATGTCACATATAGCACCGAATATCTCTTAAATAAACAAAAACTTAAAAGAACTCTCCAGGGCCCTTTGGAATCAGTAACATCACTAGCACGTCGGGGCCCTCTGGAACCAATAACATCACTGGCATGCATGTGTAACCAGAACCATACGGACGAGGCTGTTCTTGTACCTCAAAACATAATACCAAGGTGTCAAAAACGATCAATGGCTGCGGTCCGGCCCATCCTGGCTAAACACCAGGTCGCATGATCGGGTAAGACTATTCTACCCTCTCGCTTCATGATAGCGTACGTCTAAGGGCCATTGGTTTGGAACTCTGTCATTTGCCGACTTTGCATCACAAATAGTCGCAACCTATTATTTCCATTCCACGCGTATTATTTAGTCTGACATGACCTCTGATGATCACGTGGTACGGTCTGGTACGCTGTGATTGACCCCGTCTGGCAAACGAGGCACATCCACATCCTCGATGCGCATCAAAGGTTGATCACTGATGAAAACGTCATTCATCACAGCCAACCAAAACGAGACAGGAAACTGAAAACTCCACACAAGAACTGGCCTGCAATCATTCAATATTGATGCGGTATCTGTGACCGAACATGCAATCAATTTCGCCCGAGTGATTGAGATAGCCCATTGTGAACTCGATGAGCCTGCCTGGTGCGATTCGGAAGTTATTCCAGAAACACGGAAAGGCGAGTTTCTTTTAACTTCCCACACAGCCGCCCATTGACACAGGTGTGAATAGTGGGACCTACACTGAAACCAGCCTGTCGGATCTCAGGGTCATCAGGAAAGAACCGCAGCACCAGGAGAAAGAAGCAGGATGGTCCGAGAAGCCTCTCATCACAGTAGAAGCAGCTGTACATAAAGCCGTCGCGAAATCACGGTCGACAAGCGACACCAGCGCCGCAACAAGAACAAAACACCCAGAACTGGAGGCCAGCCACCAGAACCTCATTCTCCAGCTGCTGAGTGTTGCAGGAGCCTAGTGCAGTCGCAGCTACTCTCATGCTTACAACATCTGCATGCTGTTCGCAGGAGGACGTCTGCGACACACTGCCGTATGCTCGAAGAAACCCACGGGACCGAACGCTACATCCTGTCAGGTGACGTGCAAGGAGTTAGTCGCATCTTTGTCAATTTTATCTTGAATTGTGATATTTTCCCGGACTCGCATGTCTCGTGCTGTTCGCATAAGGCTGCTTACCTTTGGCGGTGTTATAAACGTTTGATCCGTTCCGGAAAAACCGTTACAAAAACGCTGCAACACGTGCACGAGAGTGGTGCAGCATGTGTTTTAAGCTGCTCGCGAAATATTTTTGATGTGTTCCTCTGTTTTTTGTCTGTAAACTGGCTCCGGGTCAGACCGAATGCTGCGGAGAGGGCTGTATTGAGGATGCCAAGAGCACACGGACCAGCCCAGGAGTCAGCCCACGAGCGCACCGACCGACGAGGGCTGCGGAGTGCTAGCCGCACGTGCAGCCCTTGTTGGGCTGCGGAGTGCTGCCAGCGCGGGCGAGTAGGTCCCGGCCGGCTGCAACGGGAGGTGTTCGAGCACGTCTGCCTCCATACCCCTGCCTCCACATGCCCTGCCCCTCCACATCCCATCCCCTGCCCCTCTACATCCCATCCCCTGCCCCTCTACATCCCATCCCCTGCCTCCACATCCCTCTCCTACCTCCACATCTGTCGCCCCTCTACATCCCATACCTTGCCTCCACATTCCCTGCCCCTCCACATCCCACACTCTGCCCCTCTCCATCCCATCCCCTGCCTCCACATCCCCTTTCCTACCTCCACATCCCTCGCCCCTCCCCATCCCATCCCCTGACTCCACATCTCTGTCTCCACATCTCCTTTCCTACCTCCACATCCGTCGCCCCTCCACATCCCATCCCCTGCCTCCACATCTTCTTTCCTACCTCCACATCCGTCGCCTCTCCACATCCCATCCCCTTTCCAACCTCCACATCCCCTCTCCTGCCTCCACATCCGTCTCCCCTCCCCATCCCATCCCCTACCTCCACATCCGCCGCCCCTCCACATCCCATCCTCTGCCTCCACATCTCCTCTCCTGCCTCCACATCCCTCTCCCACCTCCACATCCCATCCCCTGCATCCACATCCGTCGCCCCTCCCCATCCCATCCCCTGCCTCCAAATCCCCTCTCCTATCTCCACATCCGTCGTCCCTCCACATCCCTCTCCCACCTCCACATCCGTCGCCCCTCCCCATCCCATCCCCTGCCTCCAAGTCCCCTCTCCTGCCTCCACTTCCGTCGCCCCTCCCCATCCCATCCCCTGCCTCCAAATCCCCTCTCCTACCTCCACATCCGTCGCCCCTCCACATCCCTCTCCCACCTCCACATCCGTCGCCCCTCCACATCCCATCCCCTGCATCCACATCCGTCGCCCCTCCCCATCCCATCCTCTGCCTCGAAATCCCCTCTCCTGCCTCCACATCCGTCGCGCCTCTCCATCCCATCCCGTGCCTCCACATGCGCTGCCCCGTCAGCCGGCCCGTCTGCTGTCGTACCGGGCCGGAGCAGGCGGTGCAGCGGGGGAAGGCGAGCGTGGCGGGCGTCAGCTGCTGCAGCGGGCCCAGGAAGCCGCGCACGCTGTGAGGCACCGAGCCGAGCGGGCCGGCAGTGGCCGCCTCGGCGCCGTCCGACCGCGGGCTGACCGGCGCGCCGTCCCTAAAATAACGCCACCGAAGGCAGGTCAGACGGATCGGCGCTTGGGCTGGACTCCCGCCGCTCCGTACTGAACAGCGAGCGGCCAGACCCCGGCAACAGCGCCGGCTCCGGCCCGCACGGTGAACAACACAGCTGTCGCGTTTTGGCGAAGCCGAACACCTTTTGCAAGAGGGTTTATCATGCACGTCTTATACAAGTGTGTGGCCAGAAGCCCAACAATCCTGATGCAGCACTGAGATGACAGTGTGGTAATAAGTCAAGAGAGCTCGGCAATCCAAGCTTTTTTGGCCACACATCTGGGACGCTTTGATGCAGCAGAAGGTTTCTGCTCAGCCCGTCCCACTCAGACCACCTTTACAGGTTAGCAATGTGCTTTGTATGTCGTGCTGAACATCCTCAGTCCATAACAGAGCAGTCATTTATCACAGAGGCCGGTAGTGACCGACTTTGCTTCTGACACGGCAATGAGCAAACTACCGAATACGGGTCGCGGAAATACTCCCACAAGTTACACCGCACTGACTCTGCCTAAGGAATTCGAACCATGGTTCAAGCCACGGTTCATATGCCTCAGGCCAAGCCTGGACGGGACATGCCATAAGGTGCCCAGTGCACAAGGCACGTGTTCTATGAGTCCATAACGAACAAGGCCGCCGGTCGAGCAAGTCTCATTTAAGCCAATAAAATCTGCAATGGGGAGAACCGTCCTGTTACGGTCCGGTCGCCCGCTTTCCAAGAAATAACACTTCTGCAAGAACTGATCATAGTCTCACGCGGTTTCAGCAATATCCTGCATAAGTTACTGTGAGTTACTTATAGGCATGAGTACCGGACCGATCTCAGCTTCCAGCAGCCTGAGGACATAAAGACGTGGAACCATGCGCGGTGTAGGTGCATGCATTGCCCACAAATGATTGGGCGATCTCATCACTGTCCATGCCGCACATTGGCCAGCCATCGAACGACAACGGTCACCATCACATTTGCCGGCACGACATCGCCGCGTGGCATGGGCGAGGCGATAACACATGAACACTTTGTCAGTGGCACTTGCTCATGCGGTGGAACAAATAAGTAACGGGTCCGAGAGACTTGGTTGTTTTTGAACCACATTCGTGCACGAACACGTCTTCGATCGCGGGGCGGCGTGCATGTGGCGCCGCACAAACGTGGTTTTAAAAGAGACTTAGCGGTCGACCATACACAAAGACGCCTTAGCACTGCGGCATCGTATTTCCCATCAATGTGCAACAAGCATTCCACATCCAAATAGCATCTGATGCATGTCCGCAGCTCTGGCGCCAACGTCGTCAGAGGAGCCGGTCGGCAGAGGCGCTGCTGGCGCTGTCAGCCGGGCAGAGGGGGCAAGCCGCCACCGGCACATGTCAGCGCTGGGCAGGACACGGCAGAGGAAGGTGTACCGGCCATGGACAGGGAAGGCAAGCGGGGCAGGGGAGCCCGGCATGACACAGGAGGCGGACAGGGCAAGGGGCGGACAGGGCAGGGGGCGGACAGGGCAGGGGAGGTTCGCGGGCAGGGCAGGGGAGGCCCGCAGGGCAGGGGAGCTCGGCAAGACGAAGGAAGCGGACAGGGCATGGGGCGAACGGGGCAGGGGAGGCCGACTCGCGGGCAGGGGACGCCGATCCGCAGGCCGGGTGAGGCCAGCGGGCAAGGGAGACCAGTTGGGCAGGTGAGTCGCGCAGGGGCAGAGGGCCCGCGGGGCTGGGGAGACCGGCTGCCACCACGTCAGCGCACGTCAGCGCGTCAGCCGCGATAAGCGGACCGGTCCTAGACAGCGTGATTAAAACGTCTCGGATGCCACCGGCGGCGCGCGGATTCCGCCTCGGCCACTCCTCAAAACGGCACGCGACGGACGGGTCGGCGGCGCGGCTAGGGTCACGAGGGCACCCCGGCCTGCCAGGCGAGCTGTGCCCGCCGGCGGCGCGGCTGGGGTCACGAGGGCACCCCGGCCTGCCAGGCGAGCTGTGCCCGCCGGCGGCGCTGCTGGGGTCACGAGGGCACCCCGGCCTGCCAGGCGAGCTGTGCCTACCGGCGGCGAGCGGCACGGGGCCCGAGGAGGTGGCTCAGCCGCACCCCTGACGGACAGCGCCAGGGCAAGGTCGGCAGACTCGCGCGACACTACCATGAACAAACGGCACCGATGCATCTACACCGACCGGCCCGGCGAATGACGCCATCCACCGCCTTCCAGTGCACCCTGCCACCATCTGAGGATCGCGTCCCTGAGAAGGCGCGGCCTCCGCACCGACGGCGGGGGCGTTACACAGCGGCCGCCGCCGCCGCCGGGCCCCGCTCGTCGGGAAGTTGGGCGCAGTGACGACTGCCGCCAGGGCCGCGGCGCTTCAATTTGGGAGCGCCACGTGTCGTCCGAGCCTCGACTGCCATAACGGGAGTGACGGAAGAGCTCAGGATGAAGCGATCTGGCAGCCGACCAAAGGCTGACGACAGCTTACGACGCGGCCGACAGCTGCAGTCCGTGACGGTTACGAATTAAGGCTGCTGACCGATCCTGCTTGCAGTGAGGTCTCATCTTCAGGTCACGCTGTTTTGCATGTCTGCCCCACATGCCATCGCTCGTATCATTTTGCGGCATGTGATACCCTGCACACCAAGGCCAATATTATTTAAGCTTCTTTAAATTTTTCTGACTGTAATCCCGCACCTGCTTCGGACCACTTCCGGAAGAAATGTCTGCAATCCGTCCAGACCGGTTACGGTCCACATGCCTATGATTAATTGCAGATTCCGCATAACTTGTGCACACGTTAATCCAAGCGGGGTGTTATCTACAGCTGGCTGCCAAGGTCACCCGCCAGCACCTGCACATTTAACAGGAATGAACCAGCCCACACAATTTCTTCCGTTCGATTTAATCTCAAACGAGGCAGTGTACTAATTACAAAAAGCCGTTTCAGCCAAAAATATCGTCCGGAATATTGCCGCTTCCGAAATACCTCAACAACGTTTTAAAATTCGGTGTGTTACGCGGAGAGCGACCCAATGGAGTGTCACACTAGCTCCCTATCGTTGCCTGCTTTTCATGATTGCATACCTCAGATGAAAGGTGACGCCGTTCAGGCCACCTATTTAAGGGGAGCATCCCACCTTTTTTGTACTTTTCCTTAGTTTTACACCAGCCGCATACGATTTGATGAGTAATACCAGTTTTTCTATATCCTTCTGACTAGCTCAGAATTTCGATTTCAAGAAGCTGTTCCAGCGGGAGAAATCTCACTAGACACCCCGCTCACCGCTATAAAGTATTACATTTCATTTGCCCTGTTTTTTCCTCCGTGTGTTCTGTGATGTTTGCAACGCACTTATCTGTCAAAACGTATGTGCAATAAATGCCACGGAAGCTTGAAACACTTTGTTTAGACAAGGTGTGCAAACATCAAGCTATTATTCCGCGAATTAAGCGAAACGTTATACTTTGGCTTTGATTTCTACCCTATGGCGTTTACCGCACGGGCTCTTTTCGAGGCGCACGTTGGCTTTGAAAATGGGAGTATCACATGCTCCATGTTCAAATTGGTTCTGGTCCTGGTTCGGACTGGTTCACACTTCAACCAACCAACTTCTCGGTAACAGGCGCTTGCCCGCATCAGGCCAATCAGAAATGTTCTTTTATTCGCAACAGTGGAGGTGCGCACGATGGTTGCCGTGACGGCGGTGGTCACCACTGCGGGGAAGAAGGGCAATTCTGTTGCAAAGCGTCGGCAGGGTAATTTGAACTCGAAGGCGTGACTGCTTCTGTGGTTTACTAGAGTATGTTTGTGAAATATGCCCCAAAAGTGGAACACTCCCTATAACGCTTCTGTGTAGCCTTTGTGTTACATAAGTACAAACTAAATATTTCATGGCTAGATAGGCTACTAAATATCACAGATAAACGGAAATTCATGAACATTGTGCAACTGAACAACGCCTCTCGTAAACCACCTTCGTCCCACTATCTTTGTTCGTGACCACGGAACATCAAAGCTTGCCGTTCAGTGGGAGATCAAAGTCGTGAGCCGGCTTAAACATCATCCATGTGATTTTGGAACCATCCGGAAAGTCAAGCAGCTTACAAAATGGCACATCTCACGGGCAGCGTGTAAAATATTAAAGCATACAGTCGAAAAGTCTACGCATTGGTAAGAACTGGCACAACCGATATCTAATCTTCTTCTCATTTGTACATTTAGTTGTTTGGTTTGGATTATAGCCCATTCGGCCTGTAGCAAGGATTAACAGTACACAAGCAAGCAGTTCACACCCTCTTCCGCTTATGGGATGGATGAGAGTGTGTACTGGTAGGGCAAAACCACGCACTGCAACACATCTGGAAGTCGTCCGCAGAGCCTTAGCCCGCACAGGGAGCCCTCCATGGGGCTCGAGCTCGGCGCTCGGACGGGGGGGGGGGGGGGGGGCACATACACCCACTCATGGTAAGTGCATGCAAGTCTGCTCCAGAAGAATGGGACAATGCGGGAATGCAGGACGAAGCGTGATTGAGAAAACAAGAGCGAATGACACTCATCCTTGCGTATCATTACTTGCTACCGCCACTTCCAGCTGGTTCTGCACATCCGCTGCACCACCAGTGCATCTGGTGGACGGCACACAAGGCCAGACCAGGCTTCGGATGCTCGGACCGACATACTGGTCATTTACATCGAGGCAGATCATAGTGAGGTTTCACACCTTTCTGTTGCGTATGGCACACTAAGAACCCACCCTTCGATCGGCGGCCCGCGCGCAACAGCGGCCGGCTACGTCCCTGGCGGCGACCGGGCGCACTAACCGTTGGGGATGCTGCAGCAGGGCGGCGGCCAGCTCCACGGCCAGGCCGGCGGCCACCATGCTGACTCCGGGCCGGCTCACCGTACACTGCTGGTCCAGCGTCCGGTCGTGAACAGACTGCCGGCACAAACACAGGCGGACGTGCGCTCGGTCTGCCACATGCTCGGATTGTATCCGTGCGTTGTTTTTTGTCCACGCTTGTATGGGTTAACTTACATGCTGACTGTCCAAAAGGGTCACTGGAAGTGGGACCAGCTCCACTTCGGTAGGCATTTCTCCACCAGTCATGCCATGGAACGATGGGACAATGCTGCACTGTACACGCAACGTCCTTCCAGTTTCTTTGCACGGTAGGAAAAACAGGATTTTTAACTGTATCATATGCATTTATATACAAAGAAACAGAAAAGAGGAGACATAGAGCCAGTGAGGAAAGCACGGAGGAGGGAGAACAAGCAATCAAGAGAGCGATAAAGATATATCACCCCGTTTCTTACGTTACAAATGATTTGCATGTATAACAGACATGAAACTCATCATCCAAAAGCCGAGCACTTGCTGATACAACGCGGGCATTTCATGTAGAAACCCATCCGGGACTCCCTGAAATCTCGTTTTATTAAATTTTACCGAAATTCAAGCTTCCCGGCGCAATGACAGTTAGAATTTGGTCATCAGGTTTCTTATTCGGTGATATCTGCAATTCTATTTTAATGATTACTTTATGGGTATTGTTATAGCATGCACGTTCAGTCCCGCTTGCAATCAGTGCATTTGGCTTAAGCCACTCTCCACGCCGATGTATTTCACTGCGCTTTCAATCCAGAGGCTGCCGCTGATGCCTACGCCTCTACGGACCTGTCGGTCCGCGCTGACCGACTCGCTGCTGGATCGAGGGACCATTAGTTCTTTGCGTAACCGTGGAATGGTCAACCTGATATAATTAAAAACTATCGAGCATCTTGGCCTTGTAGCCTATGACAGAAATCCAAGCGTTTTTAAACCCACCGCTGACGCAAAATGTATCCATTGGGTCTTTGATCCAGCGTTAGGTCATGTTTTAGCAGCAGACGGTTGTGCAGCAGCAGCAGTTATGCCGGGGGATGTAATCACCCCGGATGCCCAAATGACGACGCAGTTTACGTGCCCTCTGACCTGGCATCAGTGCGGTAGAATTATTCAATGTATAATGCTGGAAAACTGGAAATTGGTCGATATTAAGGATTGTGTTTCATTCGCATCAGCATCGGGTACCAAAAGGCGGTACTGGAACGGTACGGGACAGAAAGCTATAAGCACACTGGGCTGCACTGGGTTCAATGAAAAATCGGTACCGACGCTGGCAGCCAAAGGTCGCAGATGCTTAGCCGAGCATCTAAGCGCTGTGAAAAACACTATGAAAACATAGTTAAAGACGGTACCATACGTACAATAGTTATTTCAGGCATTGCCTGCACCTCTTCGGATAACGTTCACGTTCTGGCAAGCTTCGATATGTTGTGGGCCAAGAGACCGAAGCTTCCGCTCCATAGTTTCATGAATGTCACCTTAAAAGCATCCGCTAGTAGTCATTTCCAAACGTCCACGACATGCGTAAGAATGAAAGCGAACAGGACACTGCTGTAACATGACGCTACGCATCGCCCACGCATTGTGTTGATTTATGTTGATATTGTACCGTTTAGAGGGTTCCAGTGGTCCCAGTCTCCATCAAAAGCAAACAGAAATAGGTTGAACGACAGACAAAATGCTGTGATGGGCAGCACCACAAACAAATGGAATAAGCTGCCGTTAAAACGTTCATAAATTGCAAACGTTCGGGGGAAAATAAAATTAACTCCGGACATAACATCCATACTTGAAAAAATCAAATCTGCATCAGAAATGCGAGCCATTACGAAACATAGCCTAGTGCGTTTTAGCACACTTATATCGGTGGATCACACTTCGACTTTATTTCACACAGTATGTGACTGATACGGAAAATCATAAATCAGTCCAGTGATGAAGGGTAACATTACGTTATATGAAATCTCGAAAGAAGAGTACGCCACTGGTCCATCCCAAAATGGGCTCAGCCTTCGCTGCCCCACGCGGTAACGCCCTGCCCACGGCGCGGACCGTGTCATTTCAGTCACGCAGAACGCCGATGCCCTACCCTTTCCTACTGCAAGTCATTTACAATCTTACTGAAGCAGAGAAAAGACCTTTAACAACATGTGCGTCTATGTATTATGTTCATCTGTCCTTTTTTAAAATACAGACCGAGCCTTTTCGTTAGATGCATTTCTGGAATCAGAACCCAAGTCAAGCAGTCCTTATCGCGTCAGCCCGTCACCAACCGCTCGTAAAATTCCAGGTCAATAGCATAATTTTGCCGCGGAATTTTAACGTCCCGCAACGCTCTGACGTCACCTGACCAGCCGCACGGACGCTGCCGCCGGCCATTCGTCAGGGGCAAATAGCGAGTGCCCCAAGTCCGTATTCGCGCTTTACCATTTTACAAATTCGGGGATGTGATAGACACTTAGTTTAACACTCGGGTGGAGGTGGGGGGGGGGGGGGGGGGGCATTTTGCCCCTCCAACAACGGTTTTTCCAGAATAACTTCCGAACGGCGCGGCCAGTATAAAAGCAGATGCCTTTCACAAGGCACACCTCTCCCCCACTCCCGGAGGACGGCCATCGCCGGCAGGGCGCAGTGTGTACCGGCCGACTGGGCTGCGCTCCGCAGCGAGCTGGTGCTCCGCGGCAACCGCAGGCACCAGAGGCGCTCAAGCTGAAGCTGTGACAGATGCCGCACGACAGCACCAGCCTTCCGCTCCAGCGCTGCGGGGTCACACCGCGGAGGCTCTCCCGTAGCGTTTACTCGAGGCCGTCGGCTGGGCGGTGCACGCTGCCCATTAAGAGAGGAGCTCCGTCGGCGGCAGCAGATCGAGGGCACACCCGGGGCGGTCACACGGTGCTGGAGTCACTGGCCGCTGCTAGCGGACCTCGCTGCAGGGCCCAGGTTCGGCAGCGCGCAGACATGGCGCGGGTGGGTTCCATTGTCCGGCAGTTGTCGTACTTGGCCGCCCAAACTTCGCAACACCACAGGTTGCGATGGAACGAGCCATACGGGTTCCGTGAGGTTAACAATTGATATTGCCCGGAAGAATCAGGGCTCTGGGTTAATTCACGGAAGAGCGCCGACTGCCAGATGACAGTAAACTAGCGAATGCTTTCATATCACACACGAAATAGCATTGAAACAAGCACGCATAACGCCCGGGCGTGATTTTGCAGTTATTTCTTTGCAATGCGAAACAGTGTCCCGCCAAACTCAGCTTGTAATAATGTTATGACATTGAAATCACTTGTCACGAAAATACGATATCACTGCTGGCTCAACGGAATTCACATCCACACATCTCGTTCATCTACCAGCGTGCAGTCGCAGATGCCACTTTCCCATCGATTGCCACGGTTAGGCAGCTAATGCCGTCCAGGCCTACGTGCTTGGTCAGTCACGTCGTGTTTGTGCACGTTTCCTGCACGTCGAAAGCGGCGGCCGATAAAAGCAGTTGTTTCATACTGGCGTTCAGGTCAGCTGGCCGACGGCCCACCTTAACCTTCTTGCAGTATGTTGCAGGTCACCTTTAGCACGCCTCCTGCATCCTCGTCCAAATTCACTGCGCTGACGCGGGGGTCAACACCGCGCAGCCAAGCACTGCGCTGCAGGCAGCTCAGCAGTCAACGGCGGGGGTTCCAAATACACATTGTTTGACAGCAAACGCTGCCACCCAGCTCGTGGTCCCTTGGTTCCAGCTGTGCCTTGACTCCAGCTTCCACCGACAACCTGTCCTTGGGCATTACCAGGACGGAGGTGGCTCTGTTGTCTCGGTTCGTTGGCCACCCGACTATGGCTTACATGCTGATGTTGATTTTTCAGATGTTTGTACTGTACGCCTGGTTCTGGATGTTTTCTTGTCGTTAATTCTTTGCATAAAGCTTTTCTTTCGCTTCCTTCGGATGGATGGTTCTATCAGCAGTTTCTCCCACACTAATATGAAGGGCCCTTGTACCTAAATTCTTTAGGAATGACATTTTTCGGAGCCCCTCGACGCCGACGTTGGCACCCGTGTTTCCGATCTTGCGGAATAACAGGTGAGTTCTGCAGGTGTTACATGTGCCCGGTGGATTTCTGATCGCCTCTGGGCTTTCTAACGTTGCCTTTCCGGAAGCTAGCGAACTCTTCGGAGAACCGTTACAGGAAATGATCCACAGTGCGGTACTTTACGGAAGCAAACGGTACAAAACTGCCGTTCGCAACACTCGTGACCGTAGGGCAAGTGTGGCATGTTCCACCGTTGGGCGAAACAAGCCACACTTAACTTAGCGCCTTCCAAGAATTGCCCATCGGCACGACTAACACGGCAGAGATGCGAAGAGGTGCTGACGATACCTGGCGGTCACCGGCGGCACAATCAGGCACAGCCGAGTCGGCACGAAAACAGCTTGACGTCAAAAAGTGCACGGACGTTTGGCATCGATAAAGAAGGCTAGCATACTTGATGGGTTTTAACCATGTCATGTTCACCAGTCCACGGTTGTGCTACGAACTGATCGTCCTTCGGTCCGACAGCAAGCGGCCAGCTTGGACTGACACGCTGTTAGGGGCGAACACATCGCGGTAATCACGGAACTCAAAACCTTAGTAAAGACACCTGCGTGGTTGAGTGGCTGAAGCTCAATCGCACTCAACGCAACTGCGGCAGAGCATGCGTGCTAAAACGGCAGATGATATTGCGCAGGACATCAACTACGAACAGATGTGAAGCATAACAAACGAATCGAAAAACCGTTCCAACGCCGGGAAAGTTATCAGGGGATAGCTTTCGATGGAAACAACGCGATCTGTACAATGGTCAGGGTAAATTATGCTAAGAATTGCACGCAGTTCAAATCAGGCTCAGTTTTCGAGTGGTGTGTTCAGACTTGTAGCAAATTCCGACCGCTTAACAAAGCGCGACCAGAACGACGGAAAAAGCTGGGTCACGATATCAAAGTACGTTTCGCTGAAGCAGCCTTGGGTTCCTCAGCTAGCACCACGATTCTAGGAGTCATCTTTGTGAAACTCAGCCCCACCCCACCCACATCCCATCAGTCCTGATACTCACCCATATCCCCACTTCCCGCCCCCTGATCCCACTCGCACCCCAGTCCCCCCTCCATTCCCACAGCCCGCCTCGCCCGGTCCTGTGGCCCGGCTCACATTGCCCGGCGCCACGACGTCGTTGCAGAAGTAGCAGCCGAGCTGGTGTCCGGGGATGAGCTGGCGCCGGTCGACGCCGTCGGTGGCGGGCGGCGCGGCGCCCGGCGGCCGGCTGCCGTGTCGCATCACCAGGTAAGAGTCGAAGCCGAGCGCGGCGTTGATCACCACCTGGCGGCCCGCGCGGCGCGTCAGCACACGGCCCAGTCGTGCGCTGGCACTGAGGGTTCAGGTATGTTAGAAGTCGGCAGAAGCGCTCGGAATGGGTAGCGGGCGTGAAGCGTGCCATTGGAAAACGGTGCACTCCGTGATCACAGGTGTGCCGGTGTGCGCAATGCCACGTTAAAATCATCCGACGACGTTCTTCCGTTGATGTTTTCTCTTTGTTCTTATTTTCTTCGCTGTTGTTGAAAGTCCTCGCTATTCTCATTTGCCAACCTTACTAAAATGACGTCAGTTTTGTCGTGACTGAAATCTCGGGCACCATAATTTTCTTCTTGTTAGTACCGCATTAAATTCTATTCACACCTGTCACTAATCTCTTAACTTGCAACTTATGTTGACTTATTTGTCGTCTCCTTCCGCGCGACTTTATTTGAACAGGTACCGGCGGTGTTTCTGGTCGATCTCCTTCCTTAAGACTCAGCTGAATGGCTTACCGCCATGTTCCCAGCTCGGATTGCTTGCAAACACAACATTGATGGTCGGCTGTCGCTTCCAACAGTGACGCACAGCCATAGAGGAGTCAAAGAGACAGTGATGCCTCCAGGATTTGTTTTGTGCAGCCGAAAATCCCAACAGTGAATGTCAGTGGTCCAAAACCGGCCAGTTTCTCACATGTACCCTCGTCTGGAAAATCAAAGGCTACCAGAAAATAATCACGGATCTTCTTTAGCAACCTTGTATTGATGCCACTGGATAGCTCCTTCCGTGATACATAATATCGGAAATCCTCGCAGGCTCAATATAATCGTTTTCTACCGAGAACAACCTAAATAAATAAAATCACAACGCAGGTGGAATCGCGCGATTTCCAACTACTTCTTTTTCGCTTTGCCCTCGCGTTTTCGCCAGAAAGTTGAGCCGTCAGTGCTCTGTCAAGCACGACTGAAAATATTAGGTCCATGCCTCAACATCGAATCATTCGGATAATACGCAGTGCAAATGTTGTCTGCTGCATTGTAATGGACGGCAAACAGATATTTGAATTTGGCGCACACCCTCACACCGGCATTATGATCCATACCACAAGCGCTCCGTGTTCATAATGCATACAGTTCACACACGGCGCGGACATGTCATGCTACCGGACCCGTGCTGATTACAGTACAGTGAAACAATTAGTCTCATTTTCGGGAGTCGCATGCCTGCAAACAAGGCCATCCAACCATGTCTGCTGTGTAACCTGTGCAGGGTCAACATATCAAAGTAAATACCAGGTGGAACGTGGAAAGTGCTACGTGCAACGACTGCTGCCATACCGGGTAGTCCCTCAAAGCGCTGCAATACAGTATGCTACGGCATTACCGCGTGCTCATGGAATATACGGATCATGGCCTCCTCACTCGTACGCAATATAAGGGTTCGCAGAAAGCTTAACGCCATTTCCATTTACGTCAGATGAACACGCGAGTGGACCTTTATCAGGAAACGTCTATAGCACAGCGTTGACACTTTTGTTGCACATCTTCGTGGTCATTTACGGAATGCTCCAGATGAAACATTAGTGCAGATGGAATAATTAATTGGATTGTCATTATTAATATATATATATATATATATATATATATATATATATATGCGTATAAACGTATGTACACATATGTATGCACATATACGTATATCACACGCACACACACACACGCATGCACGCACGCACGCACGCACGCACACACACACACACACACACACACACACACACACACACACACACACACACACACACACACACACACACACACACACACACACACACACACACACACACACACCACACACACACACACACACACATATATATATATATATATATATATATATATATATATATATATATCTCTCTCTCTCTCTCTCTCTCTCTCTCTCTCTATCTGCCTGTCTGCCTGTCTGCCTGTCTGCCTGTCTGCCTGTCTGCCTGTCTGCCTGTCTGCCTGTCTGCCTGTCTGCCTGTCTGCCTGCCTGCCTGCCTGCCTGCCTGCCTGCCTGCCTGCCTGCCTGCCCGCCTGCCTGTCTGCCTGCCTGCCTGCCTGCCTGTCTGCCTGCCTGCCTGCCTGCCTGCCTGCCTGGCTGCCTGCCTGCCTGTCTGTCTGTCTCTCTGTCTGTCTGTCTGTCTGTCTGTCTGTCTGTCTGTCTGTCTGTCTGTCTGTCTGTCTGTCTGTCTGTCTGCCTGTCTATCTATCTATCTATCTATATATCTATATATCTATCTATCTATCTATCTATCTATCTATCTATCTATCTATCTATCTATCTATATTAGCTTAGGATGCTCTTAATTCGATCTCTGAACTCCGGACATGGCGACTTGTAGCCAGACATCCCGGCCAACACGTTATCCAGAACAGCACCATATGCTTCCCATAGAATAGGAATTAGAGCACCAGTCTAGCAGTGGTTAGGTGGCAAACGCTCCTGGGTCCAGCCCAGGACCGAACAGCGCCTGACGACGGTCGGAGGAGTGCCAGCCGAAGGGTTATGAAGGCAGTAACAGCAGCGTGACGCCTCGTGCGGCGCGGGACCAGCGAGGCAGTAAGACATGTGAAAGTCGTCAGCTGTTGTGCAGACGATGCCAAAAGCCAAGCTCGTGAAGACAGAGACATTGGGCCGCCGATGTCAACGGCCTTCATCAATGCGTCGGGAAGTCTAGCTTTGATGCCAATTTAACAGGCGGAGGTACACTATCGCAGCGCAACGACACCCATAGTCCACAAACAGCTCACGTGAAATTGGCTGGCTACAAGTTCCGGTTAAACTCAAGACATCGATGAACTTGCAATGATGCATGGTTGTTCAATCGTGACCAAAGCAATTGTAATAATATCACGCAACTATTTGGGGTGGATATGAGCCGATCATAATCAGGTCTCACGCCGGTGTAGTTGTCACAGCACGGGGTGTGATGGCCAATTGGATAGAGCCATTGGTTCGCAGACGGGGGCCGGGTCTGAATCCCCGTTGCGCCACGGCCCCTGCAGTCGCTGGCACCCCATGCAATTGTGTGCAACGACGTGCACCGCGTTCTTTCCTGAAAGTTTTCAAAGCTAAATCTTTCTCGGCTTGGATTACAACGTCTTGCGTCCGAGATCACCTTCGGAAAAGGTGATACTGGCCGCCTCCTTCTCATTAGCATCGAACCTACCAGCCCGGGGTTTGAGAACATCCGTTGGCCAGTTGCAAACGGCATATTCGTCCACCCCGTGCCGTTGACTTCACGTCTTGGTCAGCCCTGGTCACTGAAATGACACCGACCCCTAAAACGCCCCTAAAACGCCTGCTAAAAGCGTCCCAAAACGGGTGGATCCGTTGTCTGCGCACGAGAGCAACAGCAGCCGTCCTAACACATTGCGGACAATAGCTCACCAGAGCAGGCAACGTGCAAACGCATAACAATCTACGCAGCACGATGTTCAATGCATTGGGCTTTTTGTTGCTGCAAACCGCATGCACCTGGAATCAGTAGTTGCAAAGATCTTTGCTTCCACACAATATGATGGCCGAGCCAAGACCGGTCACTCAACTTGAAGATTTGTTCATCGCCCGAGTCAGACTCACGCGGCCTGCGACCTCCCTTGTAATCATTGGGGCTTTACAACGCGCTGAGCTGCTGAGGCTACGCTCGTGAGGTGTCGCCTGGCTGTCACAGCGGTAGACGGCAGGTGACCCGTACCTCCAGTCCCCAAGACGCGCAGCTTAATCGCTACATTACCGATGCCCTGCGTTCTCGCTCGTAACAATACTGTCAAGGACAATATGGAACAAACGTTATAACTGGGATCAAGAGACAGCCACTTCGCGCATGAATGCCATTAAATGCTAAAGGTTGCCACAAAGACATGGCTCCTCTACAGCAGGCAGCAATCATCATCCACGCCCGTGCTGGTGTAGAACAGAATATGCAGTTTACCACGGCGTACTTGGCACAATTAAGCGGTATAAAACAGCACATTCAGTCAAACAAGCCACACCCAACAGGTTAGAAAAGGGCAGGTTTCTTCAAAGAATCGAAAAAAGGCGGCAGCACGCAGCCGGCACACCAGACTGAACGGCAGCACAACAGCCTGCAAGTGGAGAAGTTTTCCCGCATTTTGACATTCATCAGACACCACTTGCACTCTCAACGCCACCGCCCAATGGTCGCTGTGGGCGGCTGTCGTACCCCGGCCACACCTGGGCGGGAGCCGGACTTTATGGCCAGCCCCGACTCAGCAGAGGGGCTCAGCAGAGGGGTCGCTGAGGTGGCGTCCCGCCCCCATCAGAGGAGGTCACGCCAACCCCTGCTGCCGTGCAGTCAGCGCCCGTCGACGGGAGAGGGGGGGGGGGGGGGCCCACCTTCTGGTGGGCGGCGCCCATGACGGTCGGCAACCAGCGGCTCTCTCGGCTGTCCATCAGCAGGAAGAGCAGGTCGTGCTCCGTGACGAGCTGTCGCAGCCGGTGCACGTCGGCCGCCACCTGGCCGACCTCGGCCGCGCCCACCGGATGGCCCGGCATCGGTACGCACAGCTCGACACCCTCCGACACCTGGCCGCCAAACGGGGGATGTACACGTGCGCCGCCCGCCGCGCGCCGGCCACGCCATCTAACGGTCAGTCGGGCGCGTCATCCAACAAACCACAGGGCGGCCGGGCAGGCGGCTCCGACCGCGCCGTACGTGATCGGCACGACGGATCCAAGCACGAGGCGCACCGCCACGGCAGGCATGCACCGCACGCGCGGAAACACGACAGTGGCAACACTACGGTTTTCAAGGACTCCGATCTCGCTTGCCAAGCAAGACACAAGCGCATGCCATGTCTAAACGGCTAGAATAACGCAACATCTACACGCCACTGCTAGCCTCACAAACAGGATGTGGTTCGTGCGTGAGCCCGCAGTTGCGCCGCCCTACCACCTGCGCCACCCCGGCCTGCCGCGTCCACAGCCCGGCACCGCGCCGCTGCCGCGGCGGCGGCAACGGCCCGACCGCGCTCCTCACCACGCCCGGGAAGATGTCGCGCAGGCGGGCGGCCGCCGCCACCGCCTTGGGCCGCCGCTGCACCGAGTCCTCGAAGGTGAACAGGCTCTGCCGCACCGGGTTGGAGTAGGAGACGACGCCGTTGTCGATCAGCGTGATGTGCCGCACACCCCAGCCCTGTGGCGACCAACGGAGGCGACTTCAGACGGGGCGCTCACCGCCTCACGTGCTGTGCCGACCGCCCCAGCCCTGTGGTGGCCGGCCTCAGACAGAGTAGTCCCAATCGCAGGCAGGTGAGCGATGGCACGAAGTCGTTGAACAGGAGATCATGCGATCATGAACATGTACGTCTACGCGATCAGTCATCCAAGTGTTACAAAGTCGTTGGTGCTTGTTTAGGTAAAATGATGCGCAGCCAAAACAGCTTTGGGCATCCAACTGCTTTGTTCAAACGTGGATCATCATGACGAGCGGAGCGTAGCACAAGCCTGCGATCTGACGTTTGTTTCGAGTTTGATGCCCTTCTGGTCAAAAGTGCAGATCTATATTGTCCCACGTTGTAACCTCATACTGAAGCTTCATTTCCGAATCATTTGATTGGGACGTCATTTTCCCATACGAAACCAAGTTCAACATACTTACGTATTAATGCTGGATGCAGACACATGCATCACCTCTAGTCTACACAGTTTATTCATGTAAACAATTTAAGACAAAACTAGCATATCACTTCCACAGCACTAAACTGTTACTTCATTCGCCAGTGTGTCTAAATAAAATCCCTGGTCTCTGCATCAAACTTCAAAATGCACAAAAAAACTCACCACCACGTACTGGGCACAGATCTTCATACAGCAGTCAAAGTTGGATTCATCCCAAGACGGCTCAGTGTTGTGACAATTGGTCAACGCCTAGGGCCATTTGGCTCCCGATCCTGCTTCATGTTCACACATGTTCCGTTGGGAATGCAGCTTGTATTTGGGCCTGAGGTGTTTGAGCTCGTTGTGGCCTCCAACCTTAACTGAACCACATGCGTGCTTTAGTCGAAGTCCAGTTTGCTGGCGATTTACCGTTTATGTTACGACCTCAGTTGTCAGTTCAACATTGGGGCATCCAAACTAAATGTGATGTGGGTCAATGTAACTACGAAATCAAGCGCTTTAAGCGGTTTCGGTCATGGGTCCTGTCTACGTAACTATGTATGATGATTTGAAACTGAATCTGGGTGATGAGTCAAAGGCCATGGTGCGCACCATGGTCCTATTGAATTTTACCTTCAGCCAATGACAATGCCAATTCCAATGCCTCTGGATGGTCAATCCGGAGCAGGTTAATGCGACGACAGATGCACCGTCAGTCAATTGACTTTCCCTGTACAGCGCAGGCCTCCACGACAGAAACGCGGTACGATCGACTCGCTGCAATGGGCCCATGAAACATACACTTTTATCGAGGCCGGAATTTTTGTAGTCACCAGCATCAGCTAGGAAGCGAACATAACTCCAAATTATTGGTTTATGAATCTTTGATTTATATCAACCACCTTCGTGTGTTTCATACAGCACAGCAATGTCCAATTGGGTAGGCTAATGTAATCCTTTCAGGAAAAAAGTGCAACTGTTTTGCGGCGACGTGACCCGGGAGGACACCGGGTATAAAATAAGAAATTATTGCCTAGCAAACAGAAGATATTCCCACCTCCCTGTTTTTCTCTCATGCTTCCTTCTTTTATATTAGTCTGTACATCCCCCTTTCCAGCTGGGCCGTTTCAACCGTAAATGCTTGTTAAACCATAAAAACAGCAAGCTCCATCAAGCCACTGCATCGCTGTGCCCTTTACTTAACATTCAGCTATGGCAAACAAATGCATCGATTCGTTGTTTACTTAATCAGCTGTTGCAACTCGCACGTGCTACGTGCGTCACGTAAGCTTCTGGTTCGGCAAAGAATCTAGCCTACCTGACGTCGTTTTACGAGGACATCGTGCATCCACCACACCATCAGTACAAGTGGCGACACTACAGGGTGGCAACACGGGACAAACAAACGTGTGATGCTGACTAGCAATAAGTCAAACTACACAGAGCGTTAACCAGCTAGGCTGATTCGAACATGAGGCGACAAAATAATCCGCCCCGCCAAACGTTGAGCTGAAATTCGGTTTCAGTGCGAAGCCAATTGGGTGGGTCCACCGGCTGTTCATCAAGTAGTAACGCAGCCGCTGGTAGGCCGACGGGAGGTTGTTGCAAATATCCCGATGGTTATCAGACAGCACAATGTACAATAGATAGGTCACGTTAAGTCAGCGGACTGCAATTGACCGGGACTGGCGTCGTGGTTCGTCGGCAGGCCACGTCAGGTCAGGTCACGCTAGCATGTCACGTCAGGTCAGGTCAGGTCAGACAAGGATGCCGAAGCCGAGGTCGGCGGGTGGCCTGGTGGGTGCCGCCGCGAGTCGGCCGTCACGCAGTCACGGGGTTGCTCCGAGCGCTCACCAGCAGAGCCCTGGCCACGTTACAGCCGAGCGTGCCGGCTCCGAGAAGCAGACATCGAGCCGAGGTCATACGCTCCAGCTCGAGCTCCGGCACCAGACGCCACCGCATCAGCTTCAGGTTCAGGTCCACCGCGCTGGACGCCAGCCTGTCGGCCGGCCGACGCAGGTCACGGTCACACGCGGGCCGGTCGATGTCGGGCAAGATCACACGCGGGCCGGCCGATGCAGGGCAAGGTCACACGCGGGCCACCCGACGTAGGTCACGGTCACACGCGGGCCGGTCGGTGTCGGGAAATGTCACAAGCGGGCCGTCTGACACAGGTCGCGGTCATACGCGAGCCGGCCGACGTAGGTCCCGATCACACGCGAGCCGGTCGATGTAGGGCAAGATCACACGCGGGCCGTCTGACACAGGTCACGGTCACACGCGAGCCGGCCGACGTAGGTCCCGGTCACACGCGAGCCGGTCGATGTAGGGCAAAGTCACACGCGGGCCGTCTGACACAGGTCACGGTCACACGCGAGCCGGCCGACGTAGGCCACGGTCACACGCGGGCCGGCCGACGCGGATCATGTTGCTCGTTACCTAAGTTGTGCCGCCTTATGAGTAAATCACCACGCCGAATCCTTAAGATATTCGACATCGCTTAGGCAAGTGGTAAGAGACCTATAATCGGTGTGAGAGATCACCAAATTCGGTGTGAGAGATCACCACGAACGGTGTCTGAGATCACCACGATCGATGCGAAAGATCACCACAACTGGTGTGAGATAACACCACGACGCTCCGGATCCTACCCGATGTGCCACCAAATAGTTGCGCGTACGTAATCACGGACAGGTGGTGAGGCTCACGTACAACGTCGGCTCCATGCTTGAGCTGAGGTTAACCAGGCGCGGGCCCATCTTGCCTCTTTCGTTTCGCTCCCAGCCGGTCACCGACGGCGGCACGTCGGAGCCGCCGCCATCTTCATGCGACAGTCGTAACTTCAGTATCAGACTGTGTCCGACAGAGCGCGCTCCTCCGCGGGTAACGTCTCGCCAGCAGAGCACGCGGACGTCAGGCCGATCTCGCCCCCTATCGGGGTGGGGAGCAGTCAGCAGCTGTGAGCACATCGCAGCACCGACGGACTTTTGTGCAATCTAAACAGCCTCGCAAGACGCGGAGATAATTTGTATGCGGCGCATGGCAAGCTTTTTGCAACACGGCTATCAATGGTTTTTAGTATCCGCAAAAAACTTGGTCAGAGCAAGCCACGTGCCATGCTAGAAAATGCTAATCTTCGAAAACAACGTTAAAATGATCAAATCTCGAACATACAATTCGAAGTCGGAAACATGAAGAACACAGAAATCGTAGTAAAAAATCAGGTGGCCTACCAATTCAAAGGTCAGAAAGTCACTGTCAGTAACGTGATATCGGAATAAAACAAGCATTCGGTTGAAAGCTAGATGAAGTTAAAATCTGCTCGTCAGATCCAGCCAGAACTGCCTGGAGCCACACTGGAACTTGACCAGCTTCCAGACATCTCCAACAGCGCAGCGTGCAACCATTCAAAGGTCCACCTTCAAACTCAAGCTCAAAACCCAGCGGAATAGAGATGAAAAGGTAGAGCGTTCGGTGTCCTATTTACGACTTTGGAAGTAGCCCCAGTCGCTTTGGGCCGCCTGCAACCCGAAGTTGCCAGCGACCGCCCTCCCTGCACCAGCGCATGCCCGTCTCACCAGTGGTGCCAGTAGAGCACCAGCAGGTTGCGCAGCGGCCAGCCGGGGTGCTGAGGGTCGGCGCTGGGGTCGCAGAAGGCCAGCAGCAGCTCGCCGGCCGGCGGCGCGCTGCCCAGCCGCTGCAGTGGCAGCACGGACACCTCCGGCAGCAGCTGCAGCAGGAAGGCGGGCGGCGAGCCGGCGGCTGACACGGCCGACTCCAGCTGCGCTATCTGGGGGACGGCACAACACGCGGCGTGACGGCGGCCTCGTCACGCATCACGCTTGTGCGCACACGCGTACGTACGTGTCCCCCCGTCCCCACACGCACAAACACACATCATCAGTGGCACGCACTGAAGGGTGGATGCCGGTCCAACAGAGTTCAAGCACATGCTTGACAGAGGCCCGCCATACCCCTATGCAGAATCTGTCTGTTGGTAATCACGTGCGCTTTAAGCAGGGACGTGGTATTGTTTTACGAAATAATTGAGACGAAGCAATGGTCCCGCCACAGCTGCTCCAGACCAGGCTGACCCTTTAATGGACATCTACATTGGCGGTCGCTGATCAGTTAAATAAACGAACTGGGACGCAGTCCCACATAGTTTGTCACCCTAAGGGTTAGGTATCCTACGATCTTCCCATTGAGCCACCAGGCTATCACGCTGCGTCACCTGGCCAGCTGACAACGCCTCAGACAGCTGCTGCGGTGGTTCCAGTGCAGCTACAGAAGATGGCTGTTTGAGTGCAGGAAATCCAAACCAGTAGAAGAAGTCATACTTCTTTAGGTCCTGCCAGCGCACAAACAGTGCAGAATGACAATCAAGTTGGAAAAAATAGTAAACAAGGTGAACAGGGTATACAAAGCGCTGGGGCTCAGCCGGATGCTTAGGGCCAAAGGCGACGCTACAAAATGCACTAACACACTGGCTTAGAAAAAACCTGCCATAGTAGGGCCTATCTACGAAGGCTTCACTTCATCACATCACACGACGAATTCACTGGGGGCGAATAAACAAAAAGCCGTAAGGATGGCAGCAGCGCGAAACCCTCAACGGCAGTCACTCAGACTCAAACGTAAAACCAGCGTACCGCAAATGTGACCAGCAGGAACGGATTGAGCAGGCACGGTGTCTCAAGAGCCGTGCCATCGGTAATTGCCCGCAGAATGGTGCGGCCATGCTCTTGCAGGAGACGAGCCTTGTCAAATTCCTTAAACGCCTCCCTGGTATTCGTATTTATCAGGAGGCCTGGACACGCAAGGTCGCCGGGAGATCTGCAACAGGCGTCACACTGGTACAAATGGCAGCTGACGGAATGGATCAACAGCCGTCACCCTGGTACAGCTGGCGGCTGACGGAATGGATCAACATACGTCACGCTGGCACAGATGACAGCTGACGAAATGGATCAACAGATGTCCAGATGTCACGCTGGTACAGCTGGCGGCTGACGACATGAATCAACAGATGTCATGCTGGTACAAATGGCAACTGGCGACATGGATCAACAGACGTCACGCTGGCACAGATGACAGCTGACGAAATGGATCAATCAACAGATGTCATGCTGGTACAGCTGACAGCTGACGAAATGGATCAACATACGTCACGCTGGCACAGATGACAGCTGACGAAGTGGCTCGCCCAAGACATAGTCAGCATTGTGCGCCCATCCACAACATGCACATACATTTGATTATTTTATGCTTCAGGCAACATGCAATTTACTATCGCGGGGTTATAGCCAACTTCGATCACTCTTTACGTTCAAACTAATCCCCTTTTCTTTTGCGCCTAAACACAGCCGCCCTGCACTCATCCCGCAGAATTTTCGCATCTGGTGTCCTCATCACAGAGCGACCCTGAACACTTTGCTGTCAGGGTCAGCCTCAACAGGCAGGCAGGCGGTGGGCTTGTTCCGATTTTCCAGGCTTGGTGAAAAGGGGGCTAATCTGGTATCCCAGAACGAGTTCGCGTCCTCATGCTGGGTCACCGAGGTGACCAGTTGATGTGAGAACACACTTAAGTCGCCAAGGTGTGATACACGCTGAAAATTGAAACCACTCCTGATGTTGAAGTGCGCTAAGCAAGGCTCTTAGATTACTTTCTTGATAACATAGAACTTAAATAGTTTTAAAACGGCCCACAAAGACTGAGTGAAACATGCTTTGAGTTATGGCAGACCAGAGTGACCCAAGCAAGGCATGGGAGCCTCGTATGGAGCATAATCTGGAAACCGTGTCACAAGATAGATATGGAGCAGGCTGCAGAATGAACCCAAGAGAGTGAGGAGATTGAAAAGTGCAGTAATGATTAGGCAAGCTGATGAGGGACTCGATAGGGCACCGCCACTAATATATGGAGTCCAGAAGCCTGAAAAGGAAGTGTCTACATGAACACAGATTATCATTATGCACAACAGCACATAGTTACTATTCACCATTTCAATCATACCAGATAAATTATGGGCATATAGACAACATGTTCTTCATATATGGCGGCGCTTTCCAGATTTTTAAGCAAGGTTTCGCTCAAGGTGGATCAAATTATGATTCCCCAAAACAAATGCAAGCAAAAACATTACAACCTACTTATGACCAAGCTTATCTAAGCAGCTGACGGGTTCAGAGGCACAGAGACCACACACGCTCCGGCACAGAACTGTACTTGGGCAACACAAAACAAACCACAAAGTTGACCCTCAGTATGTTGTCGTCCCTGAACACGCCACGCCAGTGAGACAATGCTCCGTTTTTGGGGTGACATCTCCAGACATTTTCAGCTCAGTGCAGGTGGCGTACTGCAGTGCATGTGGCCACATCACTTTTCACCGAGCACCTTCCTGTTGACGGTGCCTGGATCACGGGCGCAACGACACCTCAGAAAGTAGGTGTAGGAGTTCTGTCCGGAGAGCACGGCGCGCTCGAGCCCCACACGGCGGTAGGTGAGAGGAGACTTCTGGGCTGGGAAAATCGTCAGGTCTGACGACGGCCCCCTATCAGCTCCTACACCCTCCAGGGGTCTGGCCTGCTAGCGCTGAAACCGTCTCCGCCGCCGTGACACCTGCGCGGCCGGTCGGCAGCCTACAGCGCCACCAACCGGGCCCGTTCGCCCCGAGCTACGGCCAGAGCACAGCAGCATGGAGTCCTGAGTCAGCACCCCGGCCTCTTCGACGGCGTGCCACGCGTCCTGTCCGGGGAGCCCTCCGCAATATATATATATATATATATATATATATATATATATATATATATATATTCGGACCCTCCTTCGCTGCCGGCGCCAAAATGCTGCAGGTCGTTCAGGAAAAGACGGTGCTTGCTGCTGTGCGCTTGCGTATCGCTGACAGATGTTGCGCCAGTTGCGAGCGAGAAAACGGCCGCTCCGCGGGCAGATCAAGTGTCGTCGGCATTGGGGCGGCGTCGGCGCCGCGCCGTGCGCAGCCTGCATCCTGTTGTTGGTGCTGATGTTTGCTATCTTGCAGAGAATGATCGTAGAAAACGATGCCGCTGGCTAGTCCTCGTCCAGCTTTGTATGTTGGAAGTTCTGTAGAAAATCTGGAGAGGGTGTTTGCCGCCATTTGATACCGCCCTGCGCGTCTGTCATCAGCGGCACAGGTCGCCTTTGGTCACAGTACGCCGGGACGCGCACAAACGACGGCGCTGCCCGCGCTTTCCTCATAGCTGTCTCGTGGCAGCTTTACCAAACAAAGCTTCGTTTGTTGCTCAGCAGGTGGTGCAGCAGGTCCACGTGCTCCGCCGTTTCCTCGGAGAACAGCCATGCAGTCATGAGCTACATGGGCGACAAACCTAAGCACACTGTGCAATTTTGCCTATGACTGCCTTGTTGACCCTCACATACATCAGTGATTCAGGGGAGGCTGTATTTGCTGACCAGGCACACTGCAACTTTACAGCTTACTGCCCACTCAGACATACACATACACACAGTGGGAGTGTCAAGCCCCTTTGTGAGTCACTTCATCCCATGCTTCAACCTAGGGTATTGCTCAGCATTCTCAAAACATGGGGTACCATGGGATCCATAGACACCATGCTCCTATGCCTATGCCCTGGGTAGTTGTCTTTCTCACCTCAGATCTCATTTTGACCATGCCACATTTCACCCTGAGCCTTTTTATGGTTAAAACCCTGATTGGAAGCAGCTACAAGAATGCCAGTGAATGGACAGTGACTAGTGGTGGTGAGTGCTCAGTGGTCATGGTTGTTCCTGTGCTCCTTGTGACAGCTACCAACCTCTCAAATGATGCAGAGTCCACATTGAAGAGAGCTGGCATTCCACAAGCAGTGCTGTTACTGAAGTATCCAGTCAAAGATACAGCTTCTTCTTTCAGGCACAATACATCCAGCTTGAGCTGACTAAATTTGTGCCAAAATCCTGTATCCACAGATGATGCAAATGGTAAAAACTGTAAAGGCATCTCTTTGCTCATCTTACGAAATTGTTTTTTTTTCAATTTCTAGAGCTACCTGAAAATAACACATCCAATGTCATTGGGCATCCTCTCTTCATATCTTAGGATGACATACTCTTTGATGAGGGCTCTAAATCCCAACTCTAACTCAAAGGGGCATTGGTCATGCATCAGCAGAACACACCTTTAAAAGTAATGCTTACTTTATGGTCAAATCACTGTTGTTGCAATCTCAACTTCAGTCATTTTACTATAGCAAAGCAATGACAAGCAAGGAACCTATGCCATAACTTTCTACAACCTTTTCTATGACAAACCAACAATATTTGGAACAATACTGAGACATGACCAAATGCAATCCCTCCTCTTTGTCATGCTACCTAAATGACAATGGGCATGGGCACTTAATAGAAAACAGTCTCACCATACCTGAAGCCATACATCTAAACTCAAACTGAAAAGTAACATGTAATGCACATATAACAATCCTCATGGGAAGGTAATATGGTACCATAATTGTGGCAGTAACCACACCAACTCAAGAACACATCTACAACAACTGAAGATAGTTTGGAGGAATGCAGGACATTAAAAATTGCATCCCACATTTTCATATACATAAGGACCAATGGACAACAAAGGTAGGTGCTCAAACACATCAGAAGCATCTGTGTAACATATGTGCACAGGGTGATCTGAAGACCTGACAGTCCATGCAACCACAAGTGCTTATATACATATTTTGTCTGCTTTGTTTATTAAGTAAAAAATTTAGCTGTAAACTAACCACACCTGGTACGTTATTCACCCCTTAATTTAACAGCATAGTACTCTCACCAAATGCTGTCCAAAGCAGGGTAGTCTTAATTAAGATTTATATCTATCCTCTAATATCAGACAATTACAGCCAATAAACAAGAAACAAAAGATAAGGCATTCATAAGAATGTAAAAAACGAAAGCAAAACTCTACATAAGGGAACCTTTAATCCGATAAATCAGCAAAATTCCAGCCATCCACAGCAGCTATGCTGCATGGACAAAGCAAGGCCTCTCACGCAACTATCTAGCCCTGTCCTGACATTGCACGATTCTTTAAAATGATGACCAGTGCACAATGATGCGTAGAAGCCAATGCATCAACCCCTGTCTCATGCAACTTGCCGATGTAAACAAACTCAACAAACGTTAGATAGCCTTGAACGAACTACAGCGGTTAGCTGTAGCAGCCGCGCAAGTTCTGTCTACCGTATAGCAAGGGCATCCGCGTGAATGCCAATACTAAATAATAACATCTTTCAAACACCCATTGGATGAACAGCATGATATGGTACGCTCAAGAACATCAGAATACCCCGGTGCTCACACTAGATTGAGCCATTCCAGAAAAATGTATCTGTCAGCCCTAAACTTTTCTCAGTGCCCCCACGTCAATAAAATGTTCGATTCAAATTATAAACGTGCAGCAAAACATTAAATAAAGTATCGCACAATGTTCTCAAGCAGCATTATACTGAGCAGCAACAATAGTTGAGACAAATCACATTAGCAGATGGTGTCCTATGAAACAGGCTTCGAAATCCAAGGGAAGGTTATGGTGCCCGGTGTAGGCTTGGTGTTTCATATTTGAATTGATTCTGCAATTTTGAATTCAGCAACATCTTTAACTACCAGCGGATGGACATTTTGACGAATTTGTGACGAAGATTTCCGTATGACGTGTTTTAGTGAAGTAGCTACCGAATGGAGTGCATTCGGTCTCCTGTTTTGCAATTAACATGTACTCGTTAAAGCGCCTTCGAACGCTGCGTTTTGTCTCGACAATGTAGGTGGTTTAGTTTTTTACACTGAGCGCCAATACTTACTCTTGGATCCTTTTGAAAGTGGTCCCATATATGACACCGTCTGATAATGCACATCTTACGGAAATCGATCGGACCGAAAAGTCTAATGCCTCCGGAGAGTCAGACCAGACCCAACACCCCGTCATCTGTCGGGTGACGGGGGTGTTGGGTTTGGTTGGGCTGAAGAGTCTCGGAGAATCAGAGACCATGCCAAACGCCTTATCATCCATCGGGTGACGGGGTGTTGGGGCTGGTCGGGCCCGGATAGTCGACGGACAGTTGTCACGCGCCGCATGACCGTGACTGTTCGGCCGGCGGCGGGCGTTACGACAGCTGTCCTGTCATCCCTCGGACACGGATTCAACACCATCGTTGAATCTAGTCTAACTCGGGCAGGCTGGAATGCAGCAGTAGTACGTGATACCCAGCGAGCCGCGGCGCAGCCTCGGTGGCCAGCTGATGACGGTCGACAGCGAGTATGACGGCTCCAGCTCGGGTGTCACCGACGGCATACCGCTGGCGTAGGCCACGTTGGCGGCAGCGCGGTGCCCTTGTGACTGTCGGCGTGCAGTTTGGTCAGCTGGTCCACCCATCCACCCATCAGCTCGTCCATCCGGCCATCCTAGGTCGACAGCACCGGGTCGGAAGTCGCGCCGCACGTACCGGTCGGACGGCGGTAGCGGCGGCAATGGCGGCGGCGGCGCCCGTGTGGCCGACGGCGTGTGTCTGGGCTAGCAGGTGGTCCACCGGGTCATGCTTGGTCAGAGGACCAGGTCGCTAGTCGCGACCACTTAGTTGACTTGACCTGGCCTGGTCAATTCGGGTGTGGACGGGCAGCACGGGAGATATGGTCAAGAAGTGGCCAGCCATGATGGTAGCACTCGTTAGCTATTGTGAGGCCTCCCCGTGGATGGGGATAATTATGACTCCAGAGGAAATATGGTCCAGGTGTGGAGTGGAACACGGAGAGGAGAGACCTAATTTGGGCGGGGGCGACATCCAGTGGCCGGTTCCAGCTGACGCGTTGGCGATCATTGCTGGTGGTGGTTGCTGGAAACCCGGCGTTCTCTGGGAGAAAAAACAAACCACCCGACCGACGACCCAGAAAAAAGACCCCTGACAAATAGAGTTAGAGCTAGAGCTAGAAAACAAAATGACCTTGAAGGCATACCACGAACCATTTTCGTCAATCATCGACATCTTGGCTGCTCCGTTGCAGCATGAAACCAGATAGTACTCGGTCTACCGCCTTTGCTATGGTAAGTGACGTCACATACACTCACAATGTAGCGAACTGAAACATCCATGGACTTCCCAATTTACGCACCTTGAATGTTGTTTACTGTGAGTCAGTATCCGGCTTACAGGTGCGCGTGGGGATTGTAATTGCATCGTCACCTGGTAGGTCATAGCCGGATTTTATTGAAATAAGATTATAATGTATTCATTTTCATGACACTTAAATACCTGAGAACAGAACACTGTCAGATTGTAGAACTGCTGCATCAATCGCCGCAGAGTATGACCCCATGGTCCAAGGGCTAAGGGATTGAAGGGCTAAGTTTTAAAATTACGTGAGAGATGTGTTACATGATGTGAAATAATGTGAACTATTTAAAGAATGCCAACATTATTACCTAAATATTGTATCAATTAGATTGCAAATGTGATACAAAATAATGTGGACTCCTTAAGAAATATCAGCAGCAGTGCCTACCTGCCACATAAACTGCATTGCGTGTGCCCAGATTGCTGCCCAGGTCCTATACAACAGTGCTAGTTCTTATCCTACCCATTCCTCTGCCTTGCCATGTTCTTTACACTGCCCTGTCACAGCTTTCCTCTGCTGTACCCTGTTCTGCATACTTTCCTGTCATCCACCATACATAACCTTACCCTGGCCTGTTGTGCCCCGTCCTGTGTTCTGTATGATAAGGTGCACCCTGTCCTCTGTCTGAACTTCTGTCATGTTTCTGTTCTGCCCTGCCTTGCTGTTTGACCTCTCACCCCCCCCCCCCCCCCATTTCTTTCCTCTGCTCTTTCACATCCTCTGTCTCTCTACGTGCCCTGCCATCTTTGCAGTCCTGTCACCTGATTTCTACTTTGTCTCTGGTTTACCCTGTGCTGCCCTTCCTCTCCTGTGAGTCATCCATGTCATCCAGTCATGTCACATGTTCTGATCTCTGTCCTCTGACCTGCATGGTATTGTGTTGCTATATGTTAGATGACTGCAATAATTAGGATGCTAGAGCATTCTATGTAATGATGTATGCAAACAGCTGACAAGAAGGCAGTGCATAGGAATCAGAATTGGGTTAACTATGCAGATATTTGACATGAAGTTTGTTTGGGTGGACTGACAAAGCATGGCAAGTTTTGCCATTTGTTGTAAAGCCAAATGGGATAAGCATAATAAGCAGTAGCAACTAATCCTTGATCTGCCCTGTGGCTCATGACCAGAGTCCGGTCCTGACTGCAGCATTAGTAGACAGCCAGAATCAAACAAATGTCTTCTGTTTCAGGCAGCTGAGATGAGAACAGCTAAATGAAACAAACATGGATTCCATTGATTTACTAGGTGAGACCTGTCAAGATACTGAGGTGAAGTGATATGAACATTTTTCCCAACACATGTCCCTTAACTTTTGTGGGAGAATGTCTCTTAAACCCAAGGCCATTTAAAAATAGTTACAGCACATTCCTGTTAGGCCTTGCTACTTCTGCATGATACTTGAGGTCCATGTCATCATAATTGTTTGAGTGCATTATTATTTCGCCAATGTGTGCTAATTGGCAAAATAATAAAAAAAAATGTGTGCATGAAGACAGCTGCATATGTGTGTCTATGAGTGCATGCATGTGTGTGTATTTGAATGCATGGTTGCTTGAGTGTATGATTGGATTGGTTATTTTTTATGAACATCTTGTCATTGCTATGTTCAGGGTTGTCTTGCCAAATGATGCTTGTTCATTATAAGCTCAGTATTCTGGAGTATACATACAACCAATTCCACATGACTCAATTGAAACAGCTGACTCCATCTCGACGTCTGTCCCGCGGGCGAGTGCCGCTGCCGCGCCAATGACGTCGCCATCCTTGACATTGCAGAGGAGGTGGGCTTCGGCGCGGCGGGCGGTGACGCGTCGGCGCCGGACCGCGACGGCTCCGACCTGACTGACACAGAGCCGGACGAGCTGGAGGACCACGCGGCCGGCGGCGGTACGGCGCGCACGCACGCGACGGTGCTGAGCTGGCGCGCTGCCGCTGGGGGCGGGGCGGGCAGTGCGCAGTCATAGGCTGGCAGCATTGTGGTGCACTCGGTCTGCGGCGTTTGGCAAGATTACCAAAAGACTGGTGCCTGTGACCCGGCTGTTCACGTGCTTGGTTTCCTATCTGTGGGTGTGATTGGCTGTTCCTGCGGCCGAACGCGGGCTGGGATGCAGCGAATGATCGATATCGACCGATCGAGACCGAAAGCTACTGCTCTGCCAAGCTGCTTACATTGTGCGGGGTTGATCTGGGGATGGTGGTGGCGCTGTTGGTTTGGAGTTCTAGGGTGTGTTGACTACATGAAGTCAGGCAGCTTCCGTCGATCCGGAGGTGGATGATGAGGGATTTTGAGATAACTGTGCCGCACCATGCTACATCCCGCCGCACCTACGCTCCAAGTGCTGGTGTGCCCTTGTCCTCATGATCGCCAGCTGTCCCCGTCGGACGGCACTGAAGAGCGGGGATCTCCAAAGTACACCGCACCACCTGCCACACTCCCTGCCCTGGCCTGGTCTGACGTGACCTGCCCTGCCCTGCCCTGCCCCGCCCTGACGTGACCTACGTCCGCCAACAGACGGTCCGCCGGTGGGCGTGGCGTGCGCGGCCGTGCCGCTGCCATGGGGCGCGCGCCGCGAGCGGCTCTGCTTCCCGGCCAGTGTGTTGATCGACGCCGACCTGCGGCCGGGGGAGTTCGTCATGCGCACGCTGTTCGCCGAGTTCACCGTGCAGGCCGAGCGCAAGATCGAAGCCGTCATGATGGAGCCGCTGGTGAGACGCCGGCTGCGACGAGCCGATGCTGGGGGTGCTGGTGAGACGCCGGATGCGAATGGCCGGTGCTGGGGGCGCTGATGAGACGCCGGCTGCGGCGGGCCGGTGCTGGTGTGACGCTCCCTGGCCACAGGAGCGACCACTGTCCAGTGTCCGCCTGGGATGGATGTGTTGTTACCGCTGACCCGACCGTGACGCTCCCTGGCCACAGGAGCGACCACTGTCCAGTGCCCGCCTGGGATGGGTCTGTTGTTACCGCTGACCCGACCGTGACGCCCCCGGCCACAGGAGCGACCACTGTCCGGTGCCCGCCTGGGATGGGTCTGTTGTTACCGCTGACCCGACCGTGGCGCTCCCGGCCGCAGGAGCGACCGCTCTCGAAGTCCCTGCAGCGCGGCGAGGACGCCCAGTTTGACCAGATGCTGTCGACGTTCGGCTCGGTGGCCGAGCACTGTCTGCCGTCGTTGCTGCGCACCCTGTTCGCCTGGTACGACCGGCAGGGTGTGGACGTGGCCGCCGAGCTACGGCCGGCACGCACCGACGCCAAGGGCAGGCTGTGAGTACCGGCGCGGCACCAGCGCTGGCGCGTGACGGAGCTGGCGTGGTGACCGGAGCTCCCCTCACGTGGCGTCGTGACGCACGCTCCCCTCGCGGAGGTGGCGTGGTGACGCACGCTCTCTCACGGAGGTGTCGTGGTGACGCACGCTCCCCTCACGGAGGTGACGTGGTGACGCACGCTCCCCTCACGAAGGTGACGTGGTGGCCCGAGCTCCCCTCACAGAGGTGACATGGTGACGCACGCTCCCCTTACGGAGGTGGCGTGGTGACGCACGCTCCCCTCACGGAGGTGACGTGGTGATCCACGCTCCCCTCACGGAGGTGGCGTGGTGACCCGAGCTCCCCTCACGTGGCGTGGTGACGCACGTTCCCCTCGCGGAGGTGACGTGGTGACGCACGCTCCCCTCACGAAGGTGGCGTGGTGACGCACGCTCTCTCACGGAGGTGACTGGTGACGCACGCTCCTCTCACGGAGGTGACATGGTGGCGCGCGCTGCCATCACGGAGGTGACGTGGTGAACCGAGCTCACTTCACGGAGGTAGCGTGGTGACGCACGCTCCCCTCACGGAGGTGACGTGGTGACGCACGCTCCCTCACGGAGGTGACGTGGTGACGTGGCGACGCACGCTGCCTCACGGGGGTGACGTGGTGACACACACCCTCACGGGGGTGCAGTGGCCCGTTTTTAGATGTTGCTTAGTTTTGACAGTACTGGAAGTGAACGACTTTTACGTGTCATACAGTTGACGTGCATTGATGGTAAACATATGCCGTCGTTGCTGATGAAAGGTGTCGTTCTGGCTAATCGAAAAGGTCGTTGCTGATGATTGTGACGAGGCACAATTACATGTAACATTCCAGACTGTTGCAATCATGGTCATTATATTACATAGATCGATGACTTCAAGTGCATATAATATTAAACAATATTTCACGTACAGCACCCTGCCAGGCCCGGGTAACGGTGCTCGCATGAAGAGGGATATAAACTTCTCTGCTACGCGGTGAAAAAGGTGCATGCGCATTTTGGCACCTTTCCAGAATCAAAATGAACAGAATCTGTGAATTTCATCAAATCCTCGACTTAATTAAGAATGTACAGCTGGTGAACGTGTGTGCGCATACCTCAAAGTAATACTTGCAGACATAATGTTTTGAGATGAAGTAAGATATTGTGAGGCAAAACTTTTACTGTTCTGGATTTTCACTTTTTTCGTATATTCTAGCACCCGTTCACCCTACCGAAATGTGATTTTGAAACGCTGAAATAATGAGTCGCGGGAAGGCGGGCCAAAATCGGCGACGACTTCGGCTTCCCGCAGCTCAGATCTTACTTCTTGATGTCATGCACTCGCACACAGGGGTCCATATGCCAGGCACATACATGATAAATTCACACGCACGCACGCACGCACGCACGCACGCACGCACTTACGCACGCATGCACGGTGAGTTGGGACTGTGCTGCATTTCCATAGCAGGCGGTTGGTGTCAACCACCTAGAATGGGGTGTGTATTTGGAAAATCTGTATTAAGGCCAGCGCGGCGGCGTCGACCCAGCGCAGCGTGCGGCCTGCGCTCTAACACGAGCCGGTGACGTGCCCCGACAGAGAGCCGACCACGGACCGACTGGAGCGGGAGCACCGCGAGGACCGCCGAGACCTGGCCGTCGAGTTCATCTTCTGTCTGGTGCTGATCGAGGTGCTGCGCCAGTTCTACCTGCACCCGGGCCACGAGGACCTGGTGCGCCACCTGGAGAACCTTGCCTTCCGACACTTCAAGTACCGCGAGAGGTACGGCGGCGCGTGGCGGCGGCGGGGTCAGCGCGATGATCACGAACATAAACGACGTGGTCACGAACATGAACAACATGGTTACTCAAGGGCATTTTTGTGTTTATACAACAAAGCTGCTCCATAAAGAGACTAGTTATGCGATAATTTTTTTTTTGTCTCACATCTACTGACTCGTGTTCAATTTTGCTTGTGTGGAGTTCATTCGAACTTTGTTACAGTATCTGAAACTGTTTTCTGGCTCTTAGGGGAAAAACCACAAATTTTAAAATCATGGCTTGTAGTGAGAACAAAATAACCCAGGTGAATTTGCACCGTGTTCACAGCTGGCATTGAAGAACATTATTTGGCAGCAGATCATAGTAAACACCATGCTCTAGCTGGTCTCAGTGATTGCCAAAGACCGTTGGAGGTTGGCTGCTTGCAATTCTTAAATTTTCTAGCTTCCTAAGTAAGTGCTTCCTTCCTAAGTCTATGCTCACACTTAGTGTATTTTTCGAAGCTATGGAGCTGATTGAAAGTTGTTGACAATTCTATTGTAAAGGTGTGAGTCTCAATTAAGGCTGATAGAAACCAATGCTTGACACGTGGTGCACCTCTTGAAAATTTCCCAGAGCACATTATGACAAATTTATGGTTGAAGTGTCATGCGAGCCACATATAACATAAATAGGAGCATCTGGGGCATAGTTAGTGCAGCTACATCCTAGCCAAGGTTCAATCTCTCTCACCTAAGGAAAAGATTCTGGGGCAATGTGATACTCACCTGGGCTTTTACTGACCTTGGGCTTTTACTGATCTAGATATACTTAATTTGGGACCAGGGGTGTGTGGTTTCCCATTTAGTTGGATGGGATGCTAGCCCCTCCCCCAACTTTAAGAAGAAACTTGGCCAAAATCAGGGAGAACATGGTTTGCACTATTTATTTGGGATGAAGAATTTCCGTGCTCACCCGCTCCTCAAAGTTATGTACAAAACTACACCATCTGGGACGTCAGGCTGCTGCGTGATCGGGGCCCGGAGGTCAATGCGGCAGGGGCGGAGGAATCATTTTTTTATGGAGCAAGCCAGCCGTACAAAGCGAGCATCGCTACATCTACTCACCGCCGTTGAGTCTGATACAATATTTTTCTACGTGTTTGACACTGAGCGGAACTGACATGATGCCTTTATCTAAACTACCACCCAACCGCCCGCAACGGCTTCTCACGCGGCTCCTCTCCAAGAAACGTCGGAAGGCTACATAAATGACGCGCGCGGAATCGCAGTCTTCAACGACAGACCCGCTGTAAGTTATTTATCGGTTTTGATGTTGCTTTTTAGGACCTTGATGGTTTTGGTAAGGTTATTCATCAGCAAAACCCGGCTCAAATAAAATACCTCAAAAAGCGCAAATAATTATATAAAAACAAAACCAAAAATTCTGCTCATTGGGGAACAATATTTATCTGCTTCGTGCCTTCGTGCCTCCATTGTGCCTCCTCTGCTTTAGCTTTATACTCAGATCATAAGTCTTTGGCAACGTTCTGTAGGTCGATAGAAAAATTCCATCCTTTTTGCTAATGCCCCTTCTATGCGTTTTCATTACGTATTCAGCTCGGATTTCTTGGTGTAGAATGTGCCTTCTCTGATGCCAAATCCTCCCCAAAAGCCGGCGACTCTGCGGAGCCGTGGATTTCCGCGTGCCCAAGCGAGTGTTTGGTATGGTGTTCACCATTATACCTTCTATACAGTCTCACCAATTTTTTCACCAATATGCAATCAAGTCATGGTATGTTCAGAGGCATATGTTAGTGCGACATCATGTACTTTCCGATCAATCTTTATTGTGTTACAATGATTTCCACGTGCAATCTAGAAACGTTGAACCGTGACACATACGAGATGTTCTCTTTTCTCTCGCTTCTCCATGGTCCGTCAAGAGACGTTATTGTTGTTCTGAGTGCGGGCTCGGGCCCGGCGTCTGAGCCCGTCGCTGTCGTTTGTGGACGGTAGGTGGGTTAAACATGTGCTGGTGAGCAGCATTGGAGCTGGGCACTGAGTGCATTGAAAGGAAAGATTATGTGTGATATGGTAGAGACATTCGGCTGGAACCCACAAGCAGTATCCCTCGTTTAGTCTTGTGGCTGTCACGCGATGCGGTCGAAGTTTCAGGAGCACCTTGCCTTCATCTCACATTGCTCACAGAGAACAGTTTTGATATCCATTCCAGTGTGTAGTCTTTCAAGTGTGTAAGTTTCAGACACTGCCTTGTTAGAACACGAAAATCGGTTGTTATTTGCGATGTGTTATATTCGGTTATATCCAAGGCCGCACATCGCTCACCACGTTACACAGTGTAAGCTTGATTTGAGTGAACTCAAATTTTCACACACGGATTCCCCGCTTATTTAGCGTAACGTTGATCCGCTCCGTAGTTGATTCAGACTCGCCCCGGAGTTTGGCACAATTTCGCATGCCTGTCGCAAAATTGCAGGCAATTGCAGTACCCGTGCTCGTGCTTTGAACAGTACCCGTGCTCGTTCTCCCGTCATGAACACCAATGTCAGCGCTGAAATGTCCCACAGCACGTCGGCCGGCCCCAACTCGTCGAACGTGAACATCATCGCGGACCTGTACGCCGAGGTGACGGGCGTGCTGGCTCAGTCTCGCATCCACTCGGTGCGCGCCCGCTTCATGCACGAGCTGCGCGAGCTGAACGCCAAGGAGAGCAGCCAGCAGACGACGCAGGGCATCATCGCCCTACTCATGGGCATGAAGTTCTTCAGGGTCAAGGTGAGTGGCCAGCCGGCCGCGCTGTGTGGGCAGAGGTCGGCGAGGCCTGCGCTGGGTCGGCTGCTCCTCTGGGTGGCCTGGTTCGCAGTAGAACACGAACCACGGATAGGAAACTTTGAGTGCGTGCATTCAACGGGGTTTAAGTGACGCTGGTTGCTGAGGTAACCTTTTTTAATGACGGACGCCCCTGTGATTTAGTTTCCGATAGACAAATTGTGTCACTGGTGGCTGGGGAGGTGTTAAGTCCTGCCACTTATACCCTGCCGTAGGACGAGCATGGTCAGCATAGGAAGGCTATCATTACCTCGCGCAGTGTTTGTAATGGACGGTGTTCACCAAGTTGGAGTCGTTACCGATTTAAGTAATCACATCCTCTTGTAGCACGGATTGTGCGGCGTTGATCCTTGAAGCACCAAAGACTAGCGGGTCGTGGCTGGCGCTCAGTTGCACACGCGCGTGTACCGCGCCTGAGGTTTGGCCTTGTTAGGGCACCTGCACATGCTGCTCCCAGTCGAGGCGTGTTCATCCCGTGCCGTGAAGAACGCGGGCGGCGAAGATCAATACCGTATCGCGACCCTTATTTTTTCGACCACGGCTTTTCCTTTTTTGAGCATCAGGTAAAAACAAGAAACACCAAAATGGACTAGGGGCTTAGGGTACACCAACATTATGGTCATTTTGACATTTATCGTTTTAGCTTTTATTCGTGCAGCGTTAGTGTGTGTCTGAGCCTGCCATCTGCACCCGCCCCTCAGATGGTTCCAATCGAAGAATTTGAGATCAGCTTCCAGTTCATGCAGGAGCTGTCGCAGTACTTCCTAGAGGTCAAGGACAAGGACATCAAGCACGCGCTGGCTGGCCTGTTCGTCGAGATCCTGGTACCCGTGGCAGCGGTGAGTGGACCGGCGCTGGGCCGTGGACACCCAGCTGGTGACAGCCGGTAACCTCAGCGTACCACCAGAAGTCTCCTGGCCCCGCGTCTAATCCCTCGCATGGGTGCCACAAGCCAGCAAATGCACCCATCTCGCAAAATAGGTATAAGCGTTCACAGCCGTTGTTTACTTCAGTCATGATTGATTGGGAGTTTTGGACTTAACCTGTTATTGACACAGCCCACGTAACGTGGAAGGAGCCATTAATGTGTGGGCAGCTGCTTGTCTTGGCATGGATCGCATACAGACGGAACAACAGACGCATCAACAGCCTGAACTCCGCCAAACACCTGGCGTGCCCCTTGCTATGTGCGAGCCGCCACGCGCTAAACGGCAGTGACCTGGTGGCCTCAAATACGTCATACGTGCGGCACGAGCACGCAAACACGCTACACTTGATGAGAGTGTGGTGAGTCGACTTGGTATCTGCTGTACTTTCTCGCTGCGCCCAAAGTACTGTCAGCATACTGCCCGAGAACAGGCCACCGCCTGTCTCAGTTACGGAGGTGTAAAACGAGCGGGACCACATCGCACGCACGCCGAGCTTTCATTTCGTAGACGGAAGGTGCGCTATGCACATGTCGACCTCCCTCCCACGCCCAAAACTTGGCCATCGTGGCTGGACGCGCCGTCGATCCGGCAGCGACCCGGGTCTCAGTGACTCCATGGCCCGGGCCAGCAGCTGCTGCGCTGCAATGACCCCATCCAGAACGATGCGCACGCCCAAGGGGTCTGCTGGACCGGCCTGCTGCCACGCGGCCGCCGTGGGTCGTAGATCACGTGGGCGCCTCGTCCGTTGTCAAACTGCTGGCGATATTTGGTCGTGGTACGAGGCAGCCGATACACGGGCGGATTTTTAGCGCGTAACGCGTCAGTTTAATCATACACGCACCGAAATGTTACAAGCCTGGGATGCGGGCCGGAACTGTGGGGATGATCTTCGTGAATGATAGATAAACTGATAACTGACAAGATCACTGTGTTGCAGTGCGTGAAGAACGAGGTGAACGTGCCGTGTCTGAAGACGTTCGTGGAGATGCTGTACACGCACACGCTGGACATGTGCACCAAGGGCAAGCACCGGCTGGCGATCTTCCCGTTGGTCACCTGCCTGCTCTGCGGTCTCCCAGAAGCAGTTCTTTCTCTCCAACTGGCACTACTTTCCTGGCCATGTGCCTCTCCAACCTGAAGAACAAGGACCCCCAAAATGTCGCGCGTGGCGCTAGGTGCGTTGTGCGGCCTCGCGGCGGACCCAGTGGGCGCTGAGACCCGGCTCTGCCTGACCCGGCAACTTCTCGAATGCTTGCCTGGGTCTCGGGTATCACTGGCTTTCGAGAACCCGTGGCTCGCACCTGCTGCATGCTGGCATACCACGGACAGTACCGGCTTATTCTAGCTTAGTCCGTGGCGGGCGATGAAATAGGGGCCATAGCGCCATGTCCACACGATGTTGAGAAAGGTCCACACTCGTAATAATGAAGAAGACATAGGCGGATAGGGTGGGAAGGGGATTGAACAGTTCGTTTGTGGCCATTAACTGGGGCCCATGGTCAACAGGCGGATATTGGAATAAGTAGGGGCTACACAGGTAATAGCCGATGATCGGGAGGCCGAAAGCATACATAGACGAACAACATACTGTTTTGTTAGTATTGTGGTTCTCGTTTCAAGGCTGGAAGCTCAATACCATAAGTACCGTCGCGGAACTCCCCAGTGTGTCCCTTTAGGCTGTGGGTCTTTATAATACCCTTCCGATGTATGAAATTGGTAAGTGTCTCGTGATAAGGTTGAAAGTTGGGTTTTACGGACTTCACTTCAGCTGCGGTCTCGCCCGCCGCCGGTAAGACGGCTGTTGGCTTTGCAGAGTCGCTGTACCGGCTGCTCTGGGTGTACATGATCCGGATCAAGTGCGAGAGCAACTCGGCCACGCAGAGTCGCCTGCAGTCCATCGTGAACTCACTCTTCCCGAAGGGCTCCAAGAACGTGGTGCCGCGTGACACACACCGCTCAACATCTTCGTCAAGATCATACAGTTCATAGCACAGGTGGGTCTCTCGACCGAGTGTCATGGCGATCTCGCGCTGGGTGTCGTCACTCCGGGTCAGACCCTGGCCCCAGGTGTTGGCCGTGGTTTCTTTGGGTTGCTTTGGCTAGGGGTTTGTGGGCCATCATCGACGAATTCGAAGATGTGGAGTTACGGGTGTTCTATAAAGTGGATTAGCTTTTGCGGAGCTGCCTTACTTCTTGGTTTGTTGTGAGCCGGGCTGCATTCCTCCGATATCAAGGCTAACTCCGGTCGTGAAACCCAAGCGACATTGTGCTCGGCTAGAGCTCCCATCCAGGACGGGACCACGAGGCCAA